TGTCATTTTCACATCCTTACTAAACTCCTTAAACACTAGCCTATTTGATTAGCAGTGTCTCCACCAAATTACATATAAATGATTAACTGTGAGTCAGTCCGCACTGAGATACAAGCAGGAGAGACAGATAAGGCCCGATGTTCAAAGGTATTCATCTGAACTGGGCGGCTCCCTTGTAGCATGGCCGACAAGCTAATGTAGCCGCTTCCATAAATATTATAAACCAATGCTTGATTAATTCTCAAAACATTAAGTGTAAAAACTGTGAGTGAAGATCAATTTCACTGGACAAGTAGGAAAAAACCTGTTAAGACTAACGGGCCAGCTAGCAGCTCATGAGTCTATACTCGCTCTTGAGAGCATATTAAATCGCCCACGACTGGCATCATAACAACATTACAACTTACATATAAGATTTATTATAGATAACCCCCCATCAATCAATCGACTTGTCCAAGTTTAAACCGATCATTTTGTTTGAATGCAGCGTACATTTACGGGTATCAATGAAGGCTAACGTCATTAGGTAGGCGGCTAAAGCTAACAAGCCGACCGCCTCAGAGCCAAACAGGTTTACTTCTTCGCTCGTCATTTAGGGTTTTTACATACCAGCTTAGAAAACATCGAACAATGAAAACGCTTGCAGCTGGTTAGCCTTAGCCATTCAGTTATCGAATGCACGGTATTTGGAGAGCAATGAAATTAATTCAACAAATCGTTTCCAGTTTGGAAACATGGTGCATGGAATCTGTTGTAATATACTCAATTCAAAATAACAGCACTTTCCTACCTCAGTGGGTTTATCAAAAAGTGTTTACAACTTGGTGCTTGTCCAGGCGAAACGACGACGAAGGACGTACAACCGCTGTCGATGGAGATGGGGGTGGCCTTTTTTTTTCTTTAACCCAAATGTGACGTCATTTTCAGCAGCTGCGCGGAAACAACCGAGGAGTGACGGGAGAAGCCGAAGCTCTGCTGATAACAGCGTCCAGTCTCATCCAAGGTCGCCAGGCTTTCTTTTTGTTAGTTGGCTTGACACAAACGTAACCCGCCGGGCTTTCTCTGCGAGTAACGATCCATATGAGTGCTGCCGGTTCCGGTCACAGACGCTATCAAATCAAGATGATAAAATGGTGATACAAATCTACAAAGATAAAAAGTGCAAATTCGACAAGACAACAATCTTCCGGAAACGCGTTAATCTTGTATTTTTGCACTCAAAGCCTTAAAATAAACATTTTAATTACAGTTAATTATTTTGAGTGCACATCAGAGCTGTGAAACTTTTCATACTATTTTTACATTAACTCCAAGAGGAAGTATTGTATGTTAGAGTCATTTTTTAAGATATGAACCTATAATACTTGATATTTTGTTTTAAGTGAAAATTACTTTCACAGTTTAAGTACAGCTGAAAGTGTCATAATTTGGAGAATTGCAGGTTAAGAACCCAAATGTAGGACTAACAGACACAGGCATGTCATGGACAAGGACCGAGCCCTTTTATTTTTGCCTGAAGTGCATATAACATACAAAATCCAGAGAGAAGCAAACAAACAGTAATGTCCAGATGAACAGAATCAGCTTTTTGGGTAAAAAAAACAAGGAGTCACTATGAGTATCCATCTGGGAAACATGGACAAATGAGTTTATAAAATAAACTTGAGGTAAAAGGGGAGCTAGAAACAGGAAGGTAAGTAAAGCTGAAGACAACTGACTAAAGGTAACATTAGAGACAATACACTGGAGACTATAGCAAAGTAAAACAGGTATTAAACAGAAACACTGCACATCAGTTAATGAGTCAGGCAAGTTGATAAATGCTGGACCTAAGGCCTAGGACCAAGACATACAAGATTACTTGATTACTCATCAGTTACTTGATGAAAAGGTGTAACTACTTTGATAGTGACTTAAGGTAAAATCCCATCTGAATCCAAATTTATGTTCGGGTCCTCTTTATTTGAATATTACTCATGTTTTCGCTGTGTTATTTTGTTCCCTGATTGTTTTTAAAGGTATAATAATTTCCCTAGGGATTAATAAAGTATGCTGATTCTGATGAGAAGCAAGTTCAATACAGCCAGGCTTTCTTTGTATTAGCTGGCTTGACAGTCAGAAATAACAGAGAGCACAACAATAGCTGTCACATTTCTTTGTTAACCAAAGCATTCTGCTTCGGGATCTCAGCATATTCACATAAAAGGAGCATTTCATCTTCATCTCTTCCAATGAAAATCTTAATCTTCAGCTTGCCCTCCTGTCTTTTCATTAGTGCCCCTGTCTCCAAACCATACATCATAGCACGTCTCACTACCATGATCAGAACCTACAGCTATCAGGACCCCCTCCTCTAGAGCCAGCGCCTAATTTAGACCCAAGAGACAGACACTCTTCCTGCTTTTAAGATTAGGCTGAAAGGAAGTTTCTCTCTGTTAAAAGCGAGTTTTTCCTTCCCACTCTTGCTAAGTGTTTCCTCATAGGGTGTTTTGTGATTGTTGGGGTTTCCTTCTGATACTGTAGGGATTTTACCGTACAATATAAAACACCTTGAGGTGACTGTTGTTGTCGTCTCTTTGACAAAACAACTAAAAACCCACCTTTTTAAACCTGTGTTTAACTTTTATTTTTATGTTCTGGCATTTCTTTTGTGAAGCACTTTGTTATTGTGACTTGCAAGGTACAATTTGAAATTTTGCTTATTTACTCTTATTGCAGTAGCACTTGAGAGCCCAGAGATCACAGGTATTCAGGATGGATGTTCAGGCTTCTCTTCTGTGTTTCTTGCACACAGAGGCTTCTCCAGACTATTATTGAACCTTATTATGTAATGTAGATTAAAATATCCAGTCTTTGTAATATTAAACTGAGGAACATTATTCTGAAATTGTTCCAAAAGTTGTAGGCACAGTTTTTTGCAGATTGAAGAAACTTTGCCACCTTTACTTCTGAGTAAAGATGTAATTAAAAAAAATAAACCAGCCTTTTTACTGACCTGTTGCCTAATCAGCTGCAAAATGTTTCTCAATCTTTTGCTTTTATTAACACTTACTTTTCCAGCCTCTTTGTTGCCCCATCCCAACTTTTGAGATCTGCTCATACCATCGGATTAAAAATGAGCTAATAGTCTATTATTATTATTAAAGTCTATTTTTAGGGAAGTTTAAAACTATATAAAACAAACAAAATAAATATTAAGAGTATTGCCATTGTTACGAATTCAAATATTGGGGATGGATACAAGAGGAAAAACCACAATAACAACACTGGTCCGGCCGGGTTGAGTCAAACGATGATTTTAATGATCACACGCGTGGGAGATGGACACCGTACGCAGACAGCATCAGATCTCAAAATGGTGGAGCATTGCTCAAACTCTTATAGCCTCTAGTGGCCCCCACCTAATCATAAAAGCCTAAACATTCACATTCTTTCTCTCACACAGCGCCTAAGCTACGACCTTGGCTCCCTGTTTATCTGCTCCTGCTGAGATGGGGCAGAAAACTCCAGTGTGTTCTGTTCTCTTCGAATCAGACAAATAAGGCGATGACTTTCTGCGAACAGTATTTCTTATAACTCAGCAGTATAATGCATCATAAAACAATATCATTCATTCACAATAAATCAGCAGTCTAATGTAATGCAAATCAGTTTAACAAATGCAATAGTTATCACCTTCTTCTAATTCAGGAGAATAATGCAAACTAAAACTACATAATAATTCACAATCTTTAATTAGGGGTCTAACATGGCATAAAATAATATTATAATCCCGCACCATATACTGGTATTGTACTTTTATACAAATATGATTACAGACTGCCTTTCTCATATCATTATTGTGATATATTCTTTTTTGTTTAGTTTTTTTTTGGCCAGGATAATCATGTAATGATATTTGATAACATAACAGCCGTACTATATGCCACTGATTGGAAAGTCTATTTGATTATGGCAAAAAAGAGAAAAGAAATATTTTTGCTTTATTGCTGGTTTAATATTATATTTAACATATATAAAACTTTCCATTATTAAATACACTCAAGTTTAAAAAACATGAATGACAGTTATTGATGCTACTCAAAATAATGATATTGATAAACACAATGCCTTGTACCAGCCAAAGGAAAATATTAACACCACTGTTTTCAGCTCCATACAAACAGAAGGAAAGACACATTTAAGTACTTACTGGATCAGAAATGCATGACTTGGTTTCGGCATACATACATACAAAAAAGTCAGCAACAGTACAAAACTGTGACTGTTAATTCTGGTGATAAACAGCTCTATTGTGATATGATATGGCCAACAGTGATGGGATGATTAAGACCTGGATGTAAAGGACTACCCCCCAGAAGGAGAGAGCCAGCAAAGCTGGTTTAGTAAGCACCCCCATTTCCCACACCCTGCTGCTGGGCGATGAAGAGTGGAAGCGGGACCAATGTCGACCGCAACCCAGGGCAACACTCATCTTCCACACTGCACACATTAGTCAAACTGGACCTCTCAAAGCCCCATCACCACCACCTCTCTTTCTGAAGGCAATATTAAACTGGCGAAACATCTCATGCAAGCACTGGCTTTTGTAAAGGTGTATGTCTGGGAGAATTACTTTCACAGAATTACACTTCTAAAGTTGTTTGCATTAGTGGTTCGCTGTTGTTTTGGTTACATCTTTTTTTTGTTATTAGTCTTTTAATATATTTTCACAACTACCTGTTATGAAAGCCCACATAGCCTTTCGTAACAGGAGCCAACCACTACCAAAAACTGCACTTCTTCTAAGTATACCCTCATAACCAGTGGCCGGGTTAAATACCTGTGGCTCTCTACCATTTCTTTAAAAATGTCTTTACACACCTAAATAAATGCAGTTGTCTTAAGCTCTTAAGGTCACTTAAGGCTCCATAGGGGAGTCAGACACTGTGGACTGCCATGATAAAAATCTGACTACAACAAAAATGAACATCTTTTACTGATAGGGACAAAATCAAGTGTGAGCTCTGTGGTAGGAAACTTTATTACAGCTGAGCTATTTAAACTGTGGTACCATCACAGCCTCCAGCTCTGCCAGCCAAATCTAGTGACAGGCTTAAGTCATGCCACTGTTCTGGAATATACACAATCAGCTGGGTGAGGAGGCTTGCAGAGAGCTGCTGAGGGAAAAGTCTCCAAACACACTAGCATAGGATCCTTTGAGGAACTGGACATAGTTTTGCAGGCTTCGATTAGTGCTGTCTGACTGCTCCAGGCGATCCTTCAAATCCTGCAGCTGGCTCTGGTACCGCCACTCCATCTAAGCATCAGAAATACATACTTTACAGACCAGCAGATGTTTCTACGCAGACAATTTTAGTCAGTAATTCCCAGAAGCCTTTACCTGCTCTTTGCTCCGTTTCAATTGATTAATTTCTGCAGTGGTCCTGCTGAGTTGGTTTTCTAGGTCCAGTATTTTGGACTGGGTGGAACGTTGTTTGTTGACAACACGTTCTTTGGTCTCTGACATCTGATAAACAGATCACACTGGATTTCACTATAATTTCTTTTATACACTATTTCAATGTTACATGCTCTTATAAACAAATTCAAATAAAAATATAGTCAGTGTATGTATATATGAAAAAATGGGTGTATCATATTTGACCACAGTTAAATTCAATCATCAATAAAGCCTATTTAATACAAGCTAAAAAGGAAACATTTAATAGTCAGAGATGCCAAGATATCTAAGGTGGTGACTGACTCAGAACACTAACCCAGAGCCCAATTCAAAGAAATGAAACCCGTGATTATAATACTGCTGAGGGAGTGGGCATTTAGAGCTAAAACATTGCATTTACAGATACACATACACAGTCCATTGTGTAGATGGAGTGGTTTAAAGGAACAACATATTTGAAGCAGTATCATTAAGTTTGCTTTATAATGTTAATTAAAATCCAGGTGTTTCCTCTGAAGCTTGCCGGGCTGTATGGTCTGTATGTGCTTTGTATCATCGTGTCTTTTTATTGTGAATTGCTGTCACACTTGGGGTTAATCATATTTTGTGTAAAGTTCTTTATAAGTAAATCACTATGAAAAAGGATCAGACTTGTTGGCGAGCATCATCCAGAGCCTCCTCCAGCCGATGGCTCAATAATGAGCATTCTCTTGTTTTTTCTTTTAGACGGAGCTCATTGCTGTGGATGGTCTCTTCTCGTTTTGCAATAACTGCTAGCAGGTCGCTATTCTGACTGCCGGCCTCCTTTAACTTTCTAGAAGATGGCAAACAAAAAGACAATGACAACAAGGTGCAGTTAGAGTATTTTCAATGAACATATATTTCAAATTGCGTAATTAACAGGCTTTGAGAGCGTATTTAATATTAAATCGATATAATTCAAATATGATTCAGTGGAATTCTGACAGGACAAGCAAGGCAGGACAAGCAAGGCAAGCACTGTCAAATTTAAAAATAGACAAATTTAATTGAATTTTCACTTGTTCCATTGGCAGATTTTTTCACTTATTCCAAGCAAAAATATCTTGTATTAAGTGAAAAAAAAACTGCCAATGGAATAAGTGAAAAATCTCTAGTTTCAAGATGCACTGTCTAAAAACAAGTTCATATATCTTACTGAAGTGTTACCCTGTAGCTGATTGTGTCTTATTTTAAGTGTGATGAGATTATTTTGACTAGAAATTAAAAAAATATACTTGGTAAGATTTCGAGTTTTTGCAGTGTATTGCCAGTCCCAGTCAGCAGTTCTCCTGCCCAACCAAACACAGCCTGAGCCAGCCAGCTTCCCATTCCTGAGTCAGCGGACAGCTTGCCAGAACTTTTTTGAGGCCTACCGAAAGACTCTAAACTCCTATCACACCCCAGTTTTTTCTATCAGAACTGCAGAAATTGCACCGGATACCCCCTCTGATACTCCTCTGCTGCTTCAGGAGACCCCCTGGCCAATCAAGCCTGGGAACTCTCCTTCTTCAGCCAGACGGGACATCATGATTCAATAGCTAAACAAACATCAGTGGATTTATGTTTGCTCAATTCTCACCTCACAAAATACAAATTCAGAATCCTGATATAAAATGTGCTGCTCCTATTTGACAGGGTCACTAATGTTTACCTCAGCATTTACCCAGCTCACAGGACATTTCTCTGCTTAAAAGCATTTCAGAGACTTGCTGACAACATGATTTTGTGGAGCAGCAAGTGTCTTCTGTCCACTCCCCTTTATGCTATGAAACAACGGCGTGCTGTCAATGGAGGACATGCTCCTTCACTTATGGCCAAACATAGTTCTATATGCTCTCTTCCCAGCCTCATATCATTAGTATTAAGAGGATTAGAAATGGCTGCTTCCGACTTTGTTAACTCCATCATTGTGTTTTATTTTGACCAATTGCAATACAACAAATGTCCCAGTAAGCCGGTTATGTTACCTGGGGTTTGGGTTTTTTTTTTAAACTGAAAAATCTGAATTTCATGAAACCTGCTTTCTAGAACAGGATCAGATACGGGGTTTTATTAGGAAATGACAAGGTGTAAAGACAAGAACAAGAAACAGCTGTTGGACGACATGGTGGTTGATTAATAATTATATATCTAGACATTATTAAAGTGAAACAGCATAAGAGAAGACGGACCTTTCCAAACTTTCTACTCGCTGCTGAAGCTGTCTGTTCTCCTCCAGCAGCACCTTTTTCTTCTGTCTAAGAAGCTCCATCTGGCTGCCTTGGGTCTCCACCTAACACAATAGAAGGCCTTTGAATAATGTATTTAGAAAACATTTTCACTGAATATTAACTGAAGCTGCACAGAGATGAAAAGTAGTCTCAGAATGGAATGGATGTGGCTCAAGAGACAAGGGGGAAAGTTGGTAGTTTGATCCCTGGCTCCTGTTAAAGTTGAAATGCTCTTGAGAGAGATGCTAAAACCCACATTACCCCCAGTTGGGTATGGTAGAATTGTTATTTGTGCCCTTTTCTACAAGTTTATTAGTCTGTTAGCTATAATTATATTAAAAAGCTATTTTTCCAAACTTTGTAAAGCACCATTGTATCCACACTTCCCAACAAGCATTCCTTTCTGCCCATCTATCATTTATTATCTGTCATCTCCATTTGTTCTTGCTCTTGTACCACTACCATCCTATATTTTTATTTTCATTAACATCATTTCAATATTGTTAATATTTTTAATGCTATCTTTGGCTATAAAGCATAAGACTGTTGTAACCTTCATGCGGAGATCAGTCAGTGCTGTGCTGAGATCCAAGCTGTGTTTCTCCTGGCTGCACTCCCTATCCTGAGCTTCCTGCAGCTGTAGCTGGGAGCGCTGTAGGGCTTCAGGAAGAGGCTCCAACTCTGCCAGCCGTCCCAGAAGCTCCCTGCGCACTTCATCGATCTCCTTCTCCAGCTCCCCCTGCACCGTCTGAGCCTTCTGCTCTGCTTGAGCCAGCCGAGCACAGTACTCATCTGCCTCAGCCTGGGTTTTCTCCAACTTTGTAGATATGGTTTAACAGGACAACAAGGACAATAACGGTGTCATTTCTGTACAATGACAATGTAAAACTGTTGTATCCCCATGAGAGTGTGAAATAATGACCTGCATCTTATAGCTGTCTAGGAGGCCCTCATACTGTCTGATGGAAACTTTGACCTGTTGAAGCTCTAACTGAGACACGGACAGCTTCTCCTCCACCGCAGACGCTGTAGCCTGAGAGAAACAGAACTTTTATTAAATAAAAATGACAGTTCATACTCCTAATGCAATATAAGTCAACCTAAAGCTATTAGAATCAGTAATGGAAAGATTACATCCAAGCCGCAAAAGCATAACAGATGTGTCTAAATTCTGATCAGGGCATGGTTTCATTAACATTTAGCAAATCTGTTATCATTAATAAGTGACTTTGGCTGTTTCACCTTGAGGGATTGGTTCTCCAGTTTGGCAGCAGTACTCTCTGCAGTGATTTCACGGAGACGATCCAGCAGCGCTTCTTTCTCTGCTCTGCCTTTATCCTTAGTAGTATGAAGCTGCTCAGTCAGCTCTGCTATACGGCTGTCATACCAGATATGATAACAAGTTAACAAGGATTAGATTTCCATTCATATAAACAAAATCCATCTGAAAGAGCAAAAGTCCAAAGTCAAAATTCTATTAATGAAGCTTGGTAACTGATTTCATCACAACGGGATCTTTGTGATTTTCATGTTACATTTTCTGGAAGCTTGCCCTTATCTGAATTAAGGGTCTAAAGACTTATATATGGTTCAATAATGTTTAAAAGGTCCACTGAGCACACTGGTTTGTGATATTGGACTAAATAAAAACGCAAGTAAAAATAAATTCAATTCAACTTTATTTATATAGTTGTGATGTCTGCTGCTGCAGATTGTGTGGAGTGAAGAGAGTGCAGACCCAAATGCAGACAATGGAGATGTGATGAAGTGAACAGAAAGTGAGCAGTTTATTTCTGGCTGCACAAGACTACAAACAAAAGCAAAGAAGGACTAAGATGGAACTAACAGAAGCTATACTGGGAAAAGCTAAAATACTAAGTACATGAAGCCTAAGACCTGAAACCTGAAACTTGGAACACAAAGGAAGAAAAGCACCAACAAGAGACAGACAGAGGACTAAATGCACAATGATAACAAGGAAATGGCAAACAGGAGGGAAACACAGCTGCGACTAGTCAGAGACAATGTGACAGGGAGGAAGCAACCCTGAACACACTAAACGCAAGACGCGGGACTATCAAAATAAAACAGGAAACATGAGAAACAAGCTGAGACACGGACCGCTGGGACTGCTGAAGAACAGACATGATTATATAACGGACTCGACGTGACACATGAAACACAGGCTTTTGTTTCTGTGCCTCCCCTAAGGCGTAGAAACAACAAATATAACCAGAAACTAACTAAGTGAAAGTATATTCAAAAACCAGGAAACAAAAACACAGGGTGCCCAGACCCAGGACCATGACAATACTGCCAAATCACAACAACAGTTCCCTCGAGGCGCTTTATACAAATGACTTGCAAATCTCATAAACTCATTTTATTTTATTCACAACACAATATAGAATATGTAAAATATGAAAACATATCAAGTATTTAAACTGACAAAGAAAAACACTGGTACATTTTGAATTTGATGGGAGCAACACATCTCACAAAATTTGGGACAGGGCCATGTTTCCCCCCGGGTAGTGTCCCGTTTTCTTTTAACACGCGTCCGTAAATGTCTGGTAACTGAGAAGATCAGCTGCTGGAATTTTGAGAGGAATGTTGTCCCATTCTTATCTGATAGAGGATTTTAGCTACTCAACAGCCATATGTCTTCTTTTTCATATTTCTTATTTCATAATGTGCCAAATGTTTTCAGTTATTGAAAGATCTGGGTCAGCCTGCAGGCAAGCCAATTCAACCCCCAGATTCTTCCACTACAAAGACATGCTGTAGGAATAGATTAAATGTGCAGTTTAGCATTGTCTTGCTTAAATATGCATATTATGCACACAGGGAGCATATTTTGCTCTAAACCTTTCAGCATTGATGGCGCTTTTCCAGATGTGAAACCTGCCAATCCCCCCCTGACATTTACGTTTTCCAAAAAGATTATCAAATTTCAATTTGTCTGACCACAGCACAGTTGCTCCACAATTTGCAGATGCAGATTTTTTTGGAGATTGTTGTAGCTACATAGCTATTCTGGCATCACCCGTCAGTTTGTAAATGTCCATTCTGAAGTCTCAAAGTCAACCTTTCCACCATCTTCATCACAAAAAACAGTGATGGACCCTGACAGTGACGAAGGGCACCTCTGACTGTGAAACCACTTGCTAGTACGCTCACAAGTCGTTAGCCAATGAGAAAGCAGATAACACCACAGCTCATCCTGCTTTATGTAACATGGTATGATAATGTTTACATTATTTTATTCAGTATGACCCAAAATGCATGACTAGGTCAAAGAACACAGTAGCAAAGTGTTTGCAGAGGGGAACACAGAAAGCCTATAGACTTCTATAGGACTGGAAGTGTTTTTGCAACCTCAGCTAGTGCCACCAGGTGGCATGGATGGATATAATGCACTTCCATACCGGCTTCATTTTTTTTGACCAGCAATCTATGGCAACCTTTTTTTTTTTTTTTACCATCTATGTTACGCTGAGAAATTCTGCATCCAAGATGCTGCTTTTATAATCATGTTACTAACCTGTTGCCAATGAACCTAATTAGCTGCAAAATGTTCCTCCAGACATTTTTTTCAGTACCACCTACTTTTCCAGACTATTACTGCTCCATTCCAACTTTTTTGACATGTGCTGATATGTTCTATTGTCAATATAATATGGGTTTATTAGATTACACAGTTTTCACCTTGAGGCGATTGTGGTTCTGTTTTGGCGCTATATACATAAAAATTTAATTAAGTTGAAATTTACATCTCACACACACGTTTTCCTTAGGATCACATTTTATTTTGTATTTTAACAAAACAGCCAAACAAATGAGTCTCAGCAAGAGTGCTCCTCTCAGAGTTTTGCCAAAGTACATACATGTACATATTGTGTCAACTACATTTTCTCCATATCTGCATGTCTCTCACATCCCACCCTCAAATGTACTGCTATATCCAACTTCAGCTCAAACAATTCCCTGTTTATTTCTCTCCCAGAATGATACTGAAAGCAAGAAAGCTTGATGAATGAATGAAGGGATGCTCGGTATATGGCTACAGTCTATAACCCTATGCTAATGTCATTAGTGGTATAAGGCATTTTGCTCTGCACAATTACCAATGTGACATTTGAAGACCTTGCAAATGTCAAAATAAAAATGTATTCATGGTGATTTTCCAAAAATATCAACAGACTTTTATTGTCCTGCATGCTATTCAGCTGTCCAAAACGCCTTTGTGAAAAATAAAAGGAGTTTAGGATCTTGGGTTTTTTATCCCCCCTTTGTGAACAGAGAAAAGGAAAATGCAGTTACCTGTTCAATAGCGACAATTCAATATCCAGTTTACTCTTGTCTTTTGCTTCTCGTGCATGTTGACTCTGCCATGTCTCAGCTGCTGACAGCACCTCTGCTATCTGCTTCTCCTGCAATTGGAATACATCTTTGTCACTGTTCACTAATACTGGTTGATTCAGTTATAGTCATAGTTGGGCACTGGTTTGTTTTTAGACTTCTCCTGGTATGAGGTGCTTATGTTGATATGCTGTATTTGATTGTACATTATGGTCAAATATCTCCATTTGTTGAGTTCTAGAATCATGTCCAAAGACATTTTGGAAATGTACATAAACATATAGTAGAACTGTAAAAACCTGTAATCTGTAAATCCACTGTTGTGTTTGTGACCAGCTCTGTCTATGAACATGCTGCAGCTGTTTTTTAAGTTGAAAAACACAAGCACTGTGCTGGATTGCTGGTGATGTATGAATGGCTCGACCTTTTTAAGGAGCAAAACGAGTCCTGTTTTTCCTTGGTTTTATGACTTTACATCATATGGCATCAAGCTGTATGCCAGAAAATTTGCAAGGCTTTAACTCTTTGATGCACCTCACCAGAAAGGATCAAGAGCGAGGACACACTAAGTGTGGCTGAATGATGCCAAAGACAGAGAAGGTGATCCAAACTAAAGATGTAGAACTACCGGGAAGCAAAATAGTAGACTAATGGGATAGCTATAACCTCCTGGGGTTATCCAGAAAGTTATAGCTATCCTGTATGTCTGCTATTTGCTCTCCAAGCCAATAGGACCATGACAATGATGCAAAGAGAACAGCCCTGCCAAATATTTCCAGAGGGTAAGATAGTACTGACAAACCAGCCCAGTTGTAGTAATAAGGTCCCAGACATTAATATCTACAGTACCTACTACTGGTCATCATATAAGCAGCCAGAATAATATTGCTTTTTCTACTGAATTAAAGTACAGACTCTCTATAGGTGTGTCAGAGCTGCATGAAATAAGACTTTTGTTCATAACCCACCTGCACACTTACTCAGAGCTGACTGAACTATTTCTGATCTGCTGCTCTGGAACTCAAAACTCCACATTACCAGTTCATCTACTCAAATTTCAGGCTCACACTCTGTGGTGTTTATTACATTTGTTTGCTGCAGTACGGACCAGAGGGTTGGACTATGAAGCAAGTTTGACAGGCTTTCTTTAAGTTAGCTGGCTTGGCAACTCTTCAGTCAGTGACAAAGACGATGAAGAAGGCTTCAGGATCTGGGCAGGCTCAAATAAAAGAAGGCATCAAATGTTTCTTTTAACTGTACCAATGGTCGAATTAACTGTGATTTATCACATTTTTTTGGAAATCTGGGCCACATTTGTGCCTGATTACAGCCAAACCCACTGAATCCAGAAATCACTTAAATAGAACCTGCGTGACAAAGAGAAGCAGGCTAAAAGATCTGAAAAAGCTACACATCATGGTACAATCTAAAGAAGCAGCCTAATGATTAAGAAGAACAGTATGGGCTCAAGCTCACACTCTTAAGCACCTGAGATCCTTCTGCAACCAACCTCTGAAAATAATGAAGATAAAGTGGCATCAGTATTATACTGAATCTAAAAGAAACATCTCCTTAAATTAGTTTTCAAATATACAAAGAGTCTAGTGTCACTGCATCTTCTTAAAGACAAAACAGCAAAGGTCATTAGGAGGATGGTGAATGGCAACTGTAAAATAACACATCATAGATGCACATCTAGACAGTCAGTATTCTTCATAAGACCCGTCTTCTCTGCGACACACTGGAACCAAACTAACTGCAGATCCTGAAGTCAAACTAGGAAGAAAATCCTGCTCCTCACATACAAGGTCTTAAATAATCAGGCCCCATCTTATCTTAATGACCTTGTAGTACCATATCACCCTATTAGAGCACTTCGCTCTCGCTCTGCAGGCCTACTTGTTGTTCCTAGAGTATTTAAAAGTAGAATGGGAGGGAGAGCCTTCAGTTTTCAGGCCCCTCTTCTGTGGAACCAGCTTCCAGTTTGGATTCAGGAGACAGACACTATCTCTACTTTTAAGATTAGGCTTAAAACTTTCCTTTTTGCTAAAGCATATAGTTAGGGCTGGACCAGGTGACCCTGAATCCTCCCTTAGTTATGCTGCAATAGATGTAGGCTGCCGGGGGGGATTCCCATGATGCATTGAGTTTTTCCTTTCCAGTCACCTTTCTCACTCACTATGTGTTGATAGACCTCTCTGCATTGAATCATATCTGTTATTAACCTCTGTCTCTCTTCCACAGCATGTCTTCTATCCTGTCTTCCTTCTCTCACCCCATCCGGTTGCAGCAGATGGCCCCGCCCCTCCCTGAGCCTGGTTCTGCCGGAGGTTTCTTCCTGTTAAAAGGGAGTTTTTCCTTCCCACTGTTGCCAAAGTGCTTGCTCATAGGGGGTCATATGATTGTTGGGTTTTTCTCTGAATCTATGAAGCGCCTTGAGGTGACTTTTGTTGTGATTTGGCGCTATATAAATAAAATTTAATTGAATTGAGTTGAATTGACTTATATGACAAAATCAAACTGAACAGAATATAATTGACAGAAATGACATAATATAAAAAACAGCAGAACAAGTTTAATATCCATGACATTAAAGGTTTTAATAGACTGGTATGTCTGCGCTGTGGAAGGACGTACCATGTCCAGCAGCTGGATGCTGAGATGGCCTGCAGTGTCCTCACTGCGCTCAGCTCGCTGCTTTTGGGCCCGTGCGGCTCGTTTCAGAGCCTCTCGGTCTGCGCCTGCCTGCTGCTTTAGTGTCACCAGCTGATCTGTCAGATGTTTTATCTCCACCTTCTGCCGATTGGCTGCTTTTTCCAGGTTCTGTACCAATGGCAGAGGATAACAGACGCATAGATAACGATATACTGAAAAAAACATGTCTGACTACAATACAAACAACTGGACAAATATAGATTGCAATAAATATATATTCTCCAGGGTGTGTGTTCACTGACTATCATTTCTTTCCATCCATCCATCCATCATTATTATACACAGCACCAAAAACAGCAACAGATGGCAGAAGATACCACACAAACCTTTATCTGCACAGTGAGGCGACTGTTCTCAGCGTCTTTGCTCCGGAGCTGTCCTTGTAAATGAGCTCGTGTTGACTCCAGGCTCTTTGAAAAAACAGCTGTGCTCCTGGCATTGTCCTGCATTTCCAAAGCCAGCAGAAGATACTTGTTTTGTGCTTTGACATTTGTTAGTTCTAAGATTATATGATATGAGTAATGCTGCAGTGAAAGAATGCCGTATGGAAAATTTCAGATGAAGAGAGCTCTAAATAAGACAGCCACCTTTTCATCATCTAAGAGCTTGGCAAGTCGATTAACCTCTCGGTCTTTCTCTTGAAGTTTAACAACAAGATGCTGTAAAAGGAAAGAAAACATATTATTTCTGACACAAAAAAGGAAACAACACAAAATGGATGTATTTTGTGAGGTTACTTAAACAAAAAGAATTTGTAGTTTCTATTAAACTCACGGCATTTTCAGCTTCTGTGTCTGCCAGTTTCTTGAGTAATTCGTCCTTCCTTGACAGCTGGAGTGACTCCATCTGCTTTAAACCATCCACACATATAAAACTTCACCAGTTTCTTTTTTTTTTTTTTGAAAATATTTTTATTGAAAAAAGAAAACAGTACTTGCAGTTACCGAAATACAATCAACCTTTCTTAATTTTCCTAAGTAAATTAACATATATATATATATATATATGAAAAAAACAACAAAAAAACCAAAAAAACAAAACACAACGCCCCCCCCCCCCCCCCCCCCCAGTCCCACACAGATCAACACAACCATCAAACATAGAGGAATATAACAGTAACAAAAGTAGATGTAAACAGGCAATACCTCTAGACTAGCAAAATAAGAGATAAAGGGTTGCCACTTGTGAAAAAATTTGGCTGTGCAACCTCTCAACGTATATTTAATTTTTTCAAGTTTTAAAAAAAACATGACATCTTTAAGCAACCGGGAAATAGTAGGATACTTAGCAGACTTCCAATGCAACAATATTAGACGTCTCGCTAATAGGGATGTGAAGGCTATAATATCCCTTTGTGTGGAATCAAGTGTAAGTGAGCGAGCAGGAATCCCAAACACAGCAATCAGAGGACAAGGATGAAGAGTTACCCCAAGAACAGTTGACATAATAGCAAAATACCTTGTCCAGAAACCTTGTAGCTCAGGGCACAGAAAAAACATGTGGCTAAGGTGACAAGGAGAACCATGGCATTTATCACATTTATTTTCCACTTCTGGATACAATTCAGAAAGTCTAGACTTAGAGAAATGCACCCTGTGTATGACCTTAAATTGAATAAGTCCAAGACGAGCACAGGAGGTGGAAGATCGTATCCTCGTTATAGCCCGTCCCCAAGACTCCTCATGTATTCGAAATCCCAGTTCTTCTTCCCATGTACGCTTAAGCTTAACATTAGAGTGGTTACTAAAAGACAGAATAGCATCATAGAGTTTCGAAATGGTTCCTCTGTGATGAGGAACAAATGATAACGTAGTTTCCCACTGCTGTTCTGGAGGTAAAGAGGGGAAATTTGGGAAACACTTGGCAACAAAATTTCGAATTTGAAAATAGCGAAACAAATGGGTAACAGGGAGATTATAACGAGAAGACAAGTTGGGAAAACTATCGAAAACACCATCCACATATAAATGTTTGAACTGTTTTATACCCTTGTCACACCACACTGAAAATGTCGAGTCCAAAAGTGAAGGGGGAACTTCACCAGTTTCTTTAACAAGCATTTACTGCATCTACAAAAGTGTTAAGAGACCAACCAAGGCTAAATATTGTGACAGAATATAATCAACTTACTAAGTAAGGATTCATTTATTTGAAAATTACAACAGATCTGCACCATACTGGCAAATCTAGCTTCCTACCAAAACTACGACTGCGACAGGCCCCCTTTTCTCACTCTGTTTCTCTTCACTGAGGTTTCCTTGTGTTGTTTTCATGTGAAAGAATACTGTCCCAGAAACAGTTCAATATTTACTCATCTAAAGGCAGCATGAGTTCCTGTGTATTTTGTGCTATTGTAAATTGGCAGTTGGATTAGACTGAGGTTACGGTTCATTCATTGGACCCTGCTTGCATGAAATGGATCATCAACACAGTCCTGCAACCATTTACACTGGAGCTTAAGGCGCAATAGGCTCTCTTTAGATTTCTCCAAATGATCTGTGCTGTAAATCAAAAAATCATCTTGCACAGTACCTGAGATTCATGCTGCTCTCTGAGAAGCTTCCGCAGTGTTCGGTTTGTGACCTCAAATGTCTCCAGTTTCTGCAGCAGCAGCTCGTTCTGACAGGCCAAGGCTGAAGACTCAGAGCCAAATGGCTTCTTCAGCAGCAAAGACACAGACAGAGATAGAAACACTGCATCACGAAACACTGAGAAAGCCTCCTGTTTCTTTCTAAAGTTCCCATGTTCCCCTAGTCTCACAGGACACATTGAAAGAGCAGACCCTGAGGTAATACTCACATTGCTACCAGAAGCGCACAGATTGAAAATGGACTCTCGCAGGGCGGAGGCTTGCTTTGCAGCTGCTGCTCCATTCACCTCAGCCTCCATCAGCATCCTGAGTAAAGCATCTTTGTCCTGATGCCCACTGTCACTGTGTAGGAACAAACAGACCTTAAATCACAAACATACTACTACTCGAACATGAGTTTCATAAACGTCATACTCTGAAATGACTGTCCCACCTTTATGTCACATACGCTAACAGGTAGTATAGTTGAAATGCAGTTGAATCAAGCTATTTTCTTTCAGTTGCCTATAGTATAATTAACCACCCAGATCTCTAAGCCCTTTGAAAATGAGGGCAAAGAGAGGCTGTTTGTCATGTGAAGGGTTGGGAATGAGTTTGGAATCACATTTGCCTGTTACAGTCATTCTCCTCCAGCATCTTCTCCATGGAAAGCCGTAACCTGGTGTTTTCCTTCTCCGTCTCCTCCAGCTCTTTGGTCACCTCAGCCAGCTCCTCTTCCTGCTCAGCGATCACCCGCTGGGACACGCTCAGCTGCTTCGACTGACGCTCTAGCAGTCGTTCCTTCTTTTGCATTTCTACCTGCACATATACCGGATAGGTATAAGTGAAAAAGGACATGTGGACCAACGCTTTAAGCACAGAAATCGACAAGAAAACCTCGCTGCTCTTTGTGATCATCAGATGTGGCAGTTTAAAATGAGGGCAAGTCTTTCAATGGGGTAAATGAACAGGTTATCTCCCTGCTATACTTATTACACGTGAGTGGCAAGACTGGAGAATTTTGACTAAATTAATACATTTCTACATTTAGATTTTACCATTCAATTTCCAGGAGTTCAAATTTCCAGGAGTATTTAAAACAGTTTCCATGGAATAAACCCATTTATTGTCTGGGTGCCCTTAAATGGTTATGTAACAATAAATATGTAACAAGACTCGCCTTGAAAATCCCATGTAAGAAAAATAGAAATCAACAATGTTTATAACATAAGTACTACTAACAAACAAATTATAATCTGAAATCTGTCTAATTAATAGTAAGGTTAGGGTTGTAGGTTGGACAGTTGCTTAATTCAAACTGACCTCATTTTTCAGCGAGCTGACTTCAGTCAATAAGTTGTCAATCTTCCTCGTGTACTGGCTGATTTGTCCATGTAGGCCTTCTTCCTCCTCTGATGCAAGGTCAGCTAACTGAAGTGCAGACTGCGAGCTTTCAGGTTCTGGTTTCGGTGGTGTGATCTCAAGGTTGTGCGTTGGCCCCTTGGTGCAAAATATACCGTGACACTATATCTTTGATTGCGTGAGTGTTTTTAAAAAAAATAGCAGAGTGGACTGGAAACTGAGAGAAGGTATTACCTCCCACTTATATGTGGCATCACGTATGGAGGTCTTTCCTGGCGTGATCCCCACACCTCGAGTTTTGACTTTAGCTGTGGGACGAAGGTCTGCTTTGTTGACTGCAGTCTTCCCCTTTAAAATACAGTGTGCTTATATTAATTGCATTTATTAGAATGGGCATGTACTATGGGCATGAGTGAGCAAACGGCTTATGATCAAGAGATTAGATTAGGAGAAACATTCACAATAAAACATGAACAACATCACAAGACAGACAGTCCACATACAAATATCTAACCTGAGGTGACCTGCCAGGACTCCTCTGGCTTTCCAGGTGCACGTGTACTGGCACGGTGTCATTGATGTGCACATGAATTGGAGGTGAATTTGAGCGTGTTCTTGTGATTTTCCTCTGTGGCACATGAGCTTAAGTAAGAATAAGCTTAATAGAACAGCATGTAGCTCAATAAAAAAAAAAACAACAATATCTTAATAATTTGCGAATAAATACGACAGGATATGTTAGTTTGAGTGCACAAAATCCATAATTTTCTGTTAAGGTAAGTCAAAAACAGCTAGAAAAATTACTGGGTATTCTTTTACAAAAAGAATGTTATGGATATGATCCGACACAGATTCTGGATCCTGTCCACTCTGGTTACTCCCAATGAAGATCATCAACTGCCACCTCCAGCTCAACACACTCATTTCTCTTGTGCACTGCTTTCGATGTTTCTAAACGTTTCTACCTTTACTAACGCTGTTCCTTGCATGTTCACCTTTCCACCTCATCTACTGTCTGGATTCTAGTGACACTCGTGCCTCTTCTCTCCAGAACATGCCTCCACTTCTCCAGTCTATTCCACCTATTGTTGAAGCTGAGGAGGGGTTCATCAGCTTTACCCCTCTGTAGTTACTAGTGCTCCGCACATCTGTCAAGACGTCCACTACTCTGTCTCCCAGACATCTCTATACCTGCACAGGTATGTCATCTGGACGGACTCTTCATCATCTTCACAGCTCCCCTCACTTTCAGATTCCCTAACTTTCCTCATCAATCCTCGTCTCTCTCGTTTTCTTCATTCATCAGCTCCTCAAAGAACGTCTTCAATTTCCTCAACACACTTTCTTCTTAGCACATTTCTGTCCTTCATCAATCTCTCCTTTTTCACATCCTTTCCAGCTTAATCACACAGGTTGGTCCTTTTTTCCTTCCTTAGGAGGAGAAAGGTGCTGTCCTATGTACACAGTACTTGGACAGCTTGAATCCAAATACAGTGCTCCTGGCCTTGCTTCCATCTGTTCTCCTGCACACGCAATACTCTAAGTATCGCTCTAAGACTCTACCTTCTTCCTCCTCTCCATCATAGCAGCCAACTCTTTTGCCTTGTACCAGACATAGTTCCTATATTTCAAAACAGTTCCTCTGCAAACACCTCTGCACTCCTGCCTTTCCTCACATCAAACTTGCTTTCCCTCTTTCCTCCTAGGCACAGTTTCCACCTTAACTCTTTGGTCTATCAACACCTATCAGCATCTATCACTCACTCCGTCACCGACAAATCTGATCCTCATTCTTGTATTTGATGTCTGATTAGGAAAAGACTTTTGGCTGACGCCCCATTTATTAATGTATAACCAGAGAGTACACTTCATATCGACATTGTTTTAAACAGTTGGCGAAGTTGTCATGAGGTCACTATTCCTTCCCATCACATTAGCTTCAAACCTTCACGACAGCATTTTTAGGATGTGTATAGTAAACGAACAAGTCAGGAATCTTACCATAGGAGAAACCGTAAAAATACACCCCCCAAAATAGAAATATAATTCATTGGCAAAGCACCATTTAATGCTTCGAGAGGAGTTGGATTGGAGTCAACGCCAACAGACAAAGCTTCTTTCTGGTTGGTCACTTTAAAGCACGTGACGTCTTTCTCAAACAGAGATTGGAGCAGAGTCGACGACGTTACGTCACTTAGCAACACACTTAAGCTACCAAAGAGAATAGCTGAATGAAGATGAACCTCCCCCACTCCGTCAATTCCATTTTCTAAAGTAAGCTCACCACTCAGCAGCCATCTTGAAACTCACTCGGACTCTTACTTTGAATCATCAGAGGAACAAGAAGCAGTCAAATGCGGTAAAGCGTTTTTCTTCTGCCATCATCTTTGCTGTCGCGAATCTCATGTTTCTGTTAATGCAATATATGCTAAATGACAGAAAAAGAAAACAAAAATATACATGAGTACATCGTTGTCTTCCTTCTCTCACCCCAACTGGTCCCAGATTACGGCCCCTCCCTGAGCCTGGTTCTGCCGGAGGTTTCTTCCTATTAAAAGGGAGTTTTTCGTTCCCACTGTCGCCAGAGTGCTTGCTCATAGGGGGTCGTATGATTGTTGGGGGGGTTTTCTTTGTATTATTATAGGGTGCACTTTACAATATAAAGCGCCTTCAGGCAACTGTGATTTGGCGCTGTATAAATAAAACTGAATTGAACTGTTGTTTGTTTGGGAGGAATTAAGTTCAGTGTAGTTGAGCAGTACCCCAGCAGTAGCTTTAAAGGACCACATATTTACATTTCACTCACCTCAAAATCCTTCTATTTAAAAATTGTTATAATTTATTTATTTTAACTAGAGGCAGCAGGCCCAGACAAGGTGTGTCCTAGGATGCTTAAGGCGTGTGCTGCTGAACTTGGGGAGCCGCTACAACGAGTCTTCAACCTCAGTCTGCGACTGGGGAGAGTGCCCGCCCTATGGAAGACATCCTGCATCGTCCCGGTCCCCAAAAAGAACCGGCCCAATGAGCTGAATGACTTCCGACCGGTGGCACTGACGTCACATCTTATGAAGACTCTAGAGCGGCTCTTCCTCAACCTCCTCCGACCACAGGTACAACATGCCCAGGACCCACTACAGTTTGCATACAAGGCGGGTGTCGGAGTGGAGGATGCCATCCTGTACCTCCTACACAGAGCCCACTCACACCTGGATGGGGGAAAAGGCACGGTCAGGATCCTGTTTCTTGACTTTTCCAGTGCCTTTAATACCATCCGGCCCTGTATGCTTCAGGAAAAACTGAACAGGATGGAGGTGGACCCCTGCCTGGTGGCTTGGATCTCCGACTACCTCACCGACAGACCACAGTACGTCAGGCTGAAGGACATCACGTCTGACACAGTGGTCAGCAGCACAGGAGCACCACAGGGAACTGTGCTGTCCCCTCTTCTCTTCACCCTGTACACCTCTGACTTCTGCTACAACTCTGAATTATGCCATATTCAGAAGTTTGCAGATGACACGGCCATCATGGGGTGTATCTGGGATGATCAGGAAGAGGAGTACAGAAGTCTGGTGAGGAACTTTGTCGCATGGAGTCACACAAACCACCTGCAACTCAACACCTCAAAGACTAAGGAACTGGTTGTGGACTTCGGGAGGTCTAGAGCAGGTCCACTGCCAGTTCAGATAGAGGGGGAGGAGGTGGAGGTGGTCAACAAGTACAAGTACCTCGGGCTGTGGGTGGACAATAAACTGGACTGGTCATGCAACACAGAGCACCTGTATAAAAAAGCCCAAAGCCGACTGTACTTCCTCAGGAGGCTGAGGTCTTTTAACATCTGCAGGAAGCTCCTGAGGATGTTTTACCAGTCAGTGGTTGCTGGAGTACTTTTCTATGCTGTGGTGTGCTGGGGGAGCAGCACAGCAAAGAGGGACTCATCCAGGCTGGAGAAACTGATCAGGAGGGCTAGCTCTGTGGTCGGCATGAAGCTGGACACTCTGGTGACAGTGGCAGAGAAAAGGACACTAAAGAAACTGCTGGACATTATGGACAATGCTGGGCATCCTCTGCACACGGCCATAAACAACCAGAAGAGTCTGTTCAGTGACAGGTTGCTTCTCCCCAAGACAAGAACTAACAGACTTAAAAACTCCTTTGTCCCACACGCCATCAGACTGTTTAACTCCTCTCTGGAGGGGAGAGGGAGGGGAAACAGGAGGACAAAGGAGGGGGGAACAACTAAGCTGTAGTGCCTCTGCACCTCACTGTACAATACCTTGTGCAATACTTTTTGTAAATAGTCAACAGTGCAATAGACTCAATACTTGAAATGTGCAATTCACTTGTATTTTATTTTTTATTCCTATTTATTCTATTTATCCCTTTGTATATTTTATTTATATTTGTCTCTGTATTTATGTGTGTGTGTGTGTGCGCGCGCGCGCGCGCGTGTGTATATATATATATATATATATATATATATAAAAAAAACAGTTCTGTAACTGTAACTTCGGTCGTTGCTGTGCTTTTTTTGGAAGTCGAATTTCCCAGAGGAACCCACCCGAGGGATTAATAAAGTTCTATCTTATCTTATCTTAGAGCTGCAGCTTCTCTCAGTGGCTGGGGGTTAAGTGATCAGGATATGGCCCAAGACTTGTATGTTCCATAACTTTGTAGATGGAAAAATATTCAACTACAGGAATAAGACAAATGAAAAAAAGTGTCTACCACATATGTTTAGATTCTACGTTGTTTGTTTTATGTAGAGATGACTTATTCCTTGAGTTAGATCCTTTTTCTGTGCTTGCATGATTCATACGAATAAATAGCAGCCAGTGCCCCAAGAAAATCTTTGAAAGATATTTGAAATCTTTGAACCTTGAAACACATCTGTTGAGTGTATCAGCTAATGGGCTGCTTTTAGATTTAAGGTGCTACTCAGGCACACTAGCCTTTTTTTCCCCACACTACAACACAGCTAAAGGCTTGCTTTACAAACGGGTAAAGCTGATTGTATCACAGAACTCTTTAAACACAAACAACATACAACAATAAAGAAACATACACACATCATCTCTGTTGTGACACAGGACACTCCTTTAATGAAGCCAAATATTGTTTTCATTATTGGCTCCATCACAGAGGGGAAAAAAAAGCAACATCTGATACAATAACTGATTTTAATCATTGTTAAGATGGGAACATGAGAATACACCAGTCTTTGGCACCTCCTACTCTAAACAAACATGCTGCTTACAGATAAACATCTGTTCTTTTTTTTTTTTTTTTTAAAGAAATATTAAAAATACATTTGACATTTTGACACTGATAATCACAAGCATGTGACACGTGTGGGTATAAAGGACGGGTGCTCCCATCTTTTGGACAATTTTACAAGTAGAAAACAGTAGAAAGGACCCCTGCACATCTGGGGAAGAAATCAGAATTGATCAGTTGGCAGTTATTTGTGACGTGCGTTAGCAGGTTGCTGACGTGGAGTTGGGGCTTTGTGCGTCCATGTCAAAAACAAGTTTATTTCTTGTGCTCTGTTGGATTCTAATACTGCCTAGGCAGATTTCACCCCCATAGCTGGCCTTCAAAAATCACAGCATCTTCTGTGCATTTTCACTTTGATTACTTTGAAATGGACTGAATTGGCATGATTGCAACAAAAATATAAATATATGACCGTGTGAATTCTGGAAAATAAAAGAGTGAAACTTTTCAAAATAAGGCAAATTTATGTCACAAAACGCTGAACATTTGTAGTCCTTGAACACCCAACATGTCAGATAATTATGACAGGAATAGCAACTTGACAGCAGAAGAGGAATAAAAAGTCTTTTGTGGTTTGGACAGAGTTGGATTTCAGGGTTTAGATTTCCATTTTAGTTTACAGTAGTGATATCCTCTGTATAATCCTGCAGATTACACATTCTGATAAATTCATTGCAGTAATGAACAACAACATAACACACAACATATTAAATTTTGTGTCAAATGCAGAAGCAGCGTGTGAAAAAGTAGGCACACTTTAACTGCTTCAAAAGGAATTAAGATGGCAAGCAGCAGCCAGGCACTGCTAATCAAATCCACTTGATTATCTGATCATCAGCAAGTGTGAGCACCTCCATATAAGCTCAGGTTTAGGTAGTTTGCTGCTCCTGAGCATTCAGGTGTGTTAACACAACGCCAAAGAGGAAAGACATCAACAACGATCTTTAATAAGAAAATGTTGCTGCCCATCAACCTGGCAAGTGTTAAATGGCCATTTCCAAACAATCTGTTGTCCACTGTTTGACGGATTATTCACAAGTGGAAAACATTCAAGACATGTGTCAATCTTTCAAACACTGCAACAAACCCAAGAGCTCCATTTCACAACACCAGCACAAACACCTCAGACCAACTGTCAGCACGGTGGTGGAGCGATGATGATTTGGGCACCTTGCGGTCACTGAGTGGAGCATGAACTGCTCTGTATACCAAAATGTTCAAGATTTAAATGTGAAGCCATCTGTCTGACAGTTAAAGCCTGGATGAAATTGGGTCATCAACAGGACATTAACCCTAAACACAGCAGCTAATCTATAACAGAATAACTGAAAAAAGTCAAAGTCCAGACCTCAACCTGACTAAAATGCTGTGATGGGACTTTCTGATTACTTTGAGTTATTGTTGTTAAACGTGGTTCTACGAGTTTCTGAATCATAGGGGGTACTTAGCTTGTAACACACACTGCTTTTACATTTCGACTTGCAGTGTATAATGTGTCATTTGTTTTTGTTCATTGCTAGTAGTATTTAAATCCTCCTAAAAACACCGACCAAAGGATGTAAAGCATGTACTGTGACAGTCTCTCGTTTGCGCAGTGATGTTTCCCACACGAGTCATCTTGCTCATATTATGCCTGTAAAAGTTCCATCCGTCTCACAGAATCCACCTTCTTAGTAATTTGTTTGCACAACTTGCAACATGTTGTTTGCATAATTGTATAATCTGTAAATATTTCATTCTCACAAGCTACCTTATTTAATCAAATTCATACATATCATACAAGATGAGCTTGTTAATATTTTGTTCACAGAAGCTATTTTAGTGATACAATTTTAGTACCTTGTTTACACAACTTGACATTTTATTTAACATAGCTGTTATTTTGCGTGAACTACTGATGGGTTTTTTGTTCTATTGTTTAAAAAAAATAAAAAATGTGCAGTGAATTTACCTCGAGAATATTGCACCAAAAAACATTTTAACAATCTAGTCTTCACATAGCCATTAAATCATGTGACTCACGACCCATTTCCATCATACAGAATGTTATAAACATGTTATCGCACCATGCTTCATACGCTGCTGGGTAGAGTAGTATAAAATTGACTGCAACATGAACCCCCCCCCAAAAAAAAAAAAAAAACAAGTTTCAGGAAACATCTGTGAGCGGCAACTTTAAATAATACACACTGTTTGCATCAATGATCCAAGTGCTGCTACATAACAAATGTTGCATTTGTGGTGATGTTTTGAACATGAACAACAGAAACAGAAGTTCCACAAACGGTTAACAGAAGCTCAAAGTTACGTTCTTCGTTTCTTTTATTTATCAGGTTTCGTCGTTATAATTCCGATGAAGGGGCAGCAGCAGTTTGTGTTTGGGGTTATTTTCCAATAGAAAAATGCTAATTTTGTGTCAGCAGGCCAAAGTGTTGAACCTTTTCAGAGATCTTTTGAGCTCTGAGAACTGAATGTACAGTAAGAAGTTATAACAACACAGAAACAAGACTTTTGGAATAGTACCTGACAAATTGTCAGTATGCAGTGTTTGAGGATTTACTGTGTACCATTGATACAAAGTGTTAGAAAACATCATTGGTATTGCAATCCTCACCAACAGCATTACGTTTGAGCACCACAGAAATCTTTCTCATTCTTTTTCACACATGTAAATGACATGTTATTGCTGCCTACTTAATACAGCCAACTGCTATTAAAAACATGACAAAAGATGAAAAGTTTAAAATCAGTGACCCACGTAACTTTTACTCTTCAAGAGAAAGAAGGTCACCAGTGTGTAGGGCTGGTATGAAGAACAACAACATGAAAGTATTTTTCAATTTCTGGACTAAAGAACAACTAACAAGATCAGAAGAACATTAAATCTCATAAAGTGCAAGCCTACAATATTTTAAATGTCATAACTGTCAATACAGGAAACACATTACGGTAAAAAGAAAAGAAAATGTAGAAACAGCTGACTTCCATAGACAAATGTAACACTGAGAAAACACTCGTCCTCTGCCTCTCTTCACATCCTCGGAAAGCTGGAATGTAACTAGAGAAAAATGGTCAAAGAACAAACTGGCCTCTTTACCATGTTGCTCCTCCTCGCTTTAACTTCATATTTCATTATGGATTACATAGTCTTGCAAAATACTGAACAAACACATCTCTGCGCAACACTATTATACATCATGTGTGCACACTCCAATGGTGGCAATAACAAAAAAATCAACACTAAAAAGTCAAATGTCATTTCAACCAGCTGCTTCTTGCATTGCTGTATCATTCCAACATTTCAACAAGTGCAGTTAAATTTCAGCAGCCATGTGCAGTCACTTTCCCCTGCTGCTGCCAGGAATAAATCGACAGCAGTTCCTGATAAACCTTTGGACCTTTTACATCTGCCCCACTACATTAAAGATATGAGGCATGCATATTAGCCAATGTAATACTGAAAGTTTGAATATATAAAGACAATTTTTCTTTTTAGCTAATACCTCTTAGATGTTAGAGGTTTCAATGGAACTGGTTGGTGATGTTATATACTATATATATATATACACACACTTCTATTCACAAATAATCACATAAAAAGACCAAATCAACAATGAATGCATTTCAGTGTGACCAAAAACATCAAACGTTTTCTCTAAAAGACAATTAAATAATCAAACAAAGAAAGCTACCAATAAGTCGGAGGTAAAATTGAGCTAAAATTCCTCCAAGCCTCTGTGAGAGACAGATTGTGAATTGAGAATTAAACATTTAATGGCAAATGGGAGGCGGTTTTCCACTGCAGGAACTCGCAGGCTGGTCTAGTGCAGCATTCTCTTTAGTATTCATTCTGAACTGCTACAGTTTCCAGGATCGCTAACAAACCTACTGCATTAGCAGCCCTTACAACCTACTGGGGACTCACTCACTGGATAAACTCTAAGATTTCAACAACAAAAGCCAAAGTCTATACGTAGCAGTCTAATGCTTTTAAAGCACAAACAAATGTGCAAAATTTGCAACAGACACTAATATAACTGATCGCAGATATGTCAAATTGCTCTTTTTTATACATTTATGTATGCTTTTATGAAGTTTTAGTACTGTGCTATGCAAGTTCTCATATGGATTTGATATTAATGTAGTTTGGACCCCACTAAGATTAGCTTTCCTTTAAGACACAGCTAATAGGGATTCTAATATCCATCTATGGGTCTAGGATTTGAAGGCTGTAGTTTTGGCAGAGATTGCAGGGAAGCTCGACCCTCCAGCGGGTCCTGGGACTGTCATGGTTTTTTCTCCCTGTAGGATGTGCACCTCACCTAGCAGGCATCTAAGTCAAATGCTGGAACAACTTAACGTGGTTCCTTTCGATGTGGAGGAGCAGAAGCCGTACTCTGAGGCTCTTCTGACTGACTCATTCGTTGCACATTGCATTGAAGCTGATGCCCGATCACTTAGGTGAGCCTCTAATGTATTTAATACCAGGTCATTTGTCAATCAACAGTATTCTTCATTCTCATTGGTGGTCATTTAAGTCGCTCACCTGGAAGTTGCGTCGCCAGCATGTTTTTAAACCCATAGTCACTAAATACTGTTCACTTTCTGTGGTTTCTCATCGATATGTTGGTAGGAATCACTTCCAGTGTGAATGCGGTTTATCGCCACGAGACACCACAGTTGGTTCAAAGGAAGCTCTGGGCTATAATCTCTAAAGTCACTCCCTGCAGCTTGGGGCCACAGGCAAGGGTAGAAACAAAGCTCATCCAGAAAGCCATAAGTTTTGCTTTTAGGATCCTGATAAATTGGCATTCATAGTCAACTTTTGGGGCAGCCCTGAATTCCTGCGGTGCAAAGTTGCCTGGAACCATCTTTGAGCTTAAAGGAGTGAAAGCCACCAGCCAGTATGGTGACAACAATGACTTAAGGACATAGCGAGAGGAGCACGACTGGTATTTCTTGTGCTTTATAAGAAAGCAGCTAAGAATGTTCTGATTAGGTGGCAGGCCACACGTTAATGCTGTCGTCATGAAGATAACAGGTGCCTAGCCATTTCAGTAATAAAAGTAACGATCTGTGTTATCAGAAAGCACAACAATTTGAACCTCTGACAGGTCACCACCTCTCCCACCTCTCACTAGATTGTCTTCACCAATTGACTAACTAAACTGTACAGGCCCATGCAACACATGCACTACTTCCCTTTACTTTCTCATTCCAAGTCATCTGAACATCTACAATTTCTTTTGTGTGGTGGAGCATCCTCTTTGGAGCACACTAACTGACACACGTCTTTGCCTTTTTTAGCATGCAAGTACAGCACAGTGAAATGGGAAATGAAGCACTATCACGTCACACAAGGCTGAAAAAAAAAGTCTCCGAATTAGTTTGTTAATGATATGAAAGCGACTAACTAACAACATGTGGCGAAACAAAACCTCATGCACCTTTAGCGTGCTGCAAGTTGATACACCAAGCGCTGTTTGGCAAACACAAAACTCCAGCACTAATAATATTTTTGGTGAATAATGTGCTCATATAATAACTATTACATTTCCTGATGCATTTTTAGCTCTACCATGCTTGTCTTTTTTACAGGTGGATCAAAAACCACATGAAAGCTGCCAAGAATGTTTCCTTACTTTGTTCCTTTACGTTAATAAATGATGAAAAATCTTTTTACAACAAACTACCAAGGCTGTTATCATCTTGATGATAGTCTGCTGTCATGAAAAAAGTTAGAAGCTGATAAACAAGAACTAGTAAGTTGAACAGTAATGTGGAGCGTCTCATTTGTTTTACTCTTATGTTGCTCATATTTACCAGGCAAGCCAATGAGAGTCAAAATGGGGAATTTATGAGAAGAAACTATGTGAACATCTTTCTGTTGCATGACATTAACACTTACATGGAGGACATGAACTTGCATGTTGGGTTTTTTTTTTTTTCATTACCTGTTAAAAAACAAAATGACCATGAGGGCTTTGGCAGTGGAGTCTGTATTTACATATACGCCATACTGCCCTGTGTGAAGATGTTAGTAGGCTTCCAGTGAATCATCCCAAAATAAGCTCTGCACGTCCAGCATGGTCGCCAGCTCCAAAATATGCTTCTGTAGAAGGCTGCTCTCCACTGTGTCCTGTTTGGGGAGCTCTGGATAGGATTCCGGGAAACTCTGAGATTCCTGCAAGCACACAAACATCCAAATTGTGTTTTAGCTACCTGACAAAAATACTTTGGTGGTCACTGAAGGGTTCTCACTCTGAAGTGAGAATCAAAGGTTTAAGCGTTAAGAAGAGCTTCCTTCATTTACGAGAAATTTAAAAAATACATGATTTAAATAGCATTTAAACACAATGAGAAGGTTAAAAAATTATTGTATGCAGGTAAACTATTATAAAATTTAAAAAAAAATAGCATTTTGAAACTCATCTGTTATTCTCATTTATTAATATTATTTATTATTGCCCCCATAATAACATAAGTGTTTTTTATTGAGTTACTCGATGGAATAATTAATATTAAAATATTGATTATTAAAATAATCAATAACTGTAAACCTGTAATAATCTGGGGACTTTAGTGGGTTCATTTACTGAGTATTTGCTGACATGACATGACCTCCTGGTGATGCATAAATACGACTTACTGCAAGTGCTTAAGAAACACTGGTTTGTGGAAATGCATGGTGCATTGTTGGCATATAAACTTAAACAATGTGGCTCCTTGAGGAAAGCAGACTTACCCGAAAGAGTTTATGCAGTCTCAGTGCAGCGGAGCAGAACACAAAGCGGATCAACAGCAGCCGCAGGAACTCGTCACCAAAGAACTGCAAAAAGGCTTGATCTGCATTAAACAATGTGTAAATAAGTCGATCAACAGAAGACAAATGCATCACAATTTATTTCAGTGCAGCCTTAAATCCACCATAGATTTAAACTTCTCAAGAAAGAGAGAAGTTTATTTTCATGGAGGGACCTACGAAGCTCACCTGATGGTCACAAATACAGTACACATGGGTCGTCACAGTAACCCTTTCATAGTCCATGCTAATCTCCATAACATACCTATGGTCCGCGATCGTGTTAGCATCTGCCCAATGTCACGGTACACTTTGCGAAGGAATTCTTGAGCTCTTTCCCAAAGACCTCGTTGCACACTGTTTAAGCCACACACGGAGGAGAAAGCCAAGAGCGGACTGTAGAGGAACAGAGTGAAGAGACTCCCACGCTGAGACTGATCTAAACAGGTGAAGCAGAGACATTGTAAACTGAAAGGAAATTCGATGCCTGAAAAGCTTCCACTGAAAGCAGCATCTTTACCAAACATAAAAATACTGGTAGATACCAATGACACCCATGTTAAATGTGGATTAATCAGCTGCTACAAACAGTCCAGAATTTACTTTTGTCTAACTAACATTAGACTAAAAGCCTCTTTCTCTTTCAACCAAAACACTCAGACAGCGGAGCCACAGAGAGGAAGTTAGGCAAACAGACGAAGATGGAGTTCGTTTAGGTCTTCTGGTTAAAGGAGTGTGGTTCTGCAGTGACACCCACCTTGTACACTCTTGGGATATACCGTAGGTGATAGTAGGCACACCAGGGGCTGGCCAAATAGATTTGTAAAATTCTAATAAAACAAAGACAGAAACAAGCATTTTAATTATGGAAATATACTTACAAACAACAGTGGCACGTTTGATATATCTGCTGTGGACATTAGTGACATTTTTATCTTGAAGATAGATTGAGGGACATCCATACAAAAGCTGAACGTCTGACACAAACTTGTGCTGTGTGATGTGAACAGAGGTGAGCATCTGCTCAATTCATAAATATTTCGACTTTGGCAAAAAATTAGCTTCACATTTGGTCAGGAAACCCATGAGCAGATTCTCTCATACACCTTCATTCTCAGCATCCCTCTCTCCCCTTTAACAGTAATATCCCCTACATTTTAATTCCCTACTCTTACCTCGACCCCCCTCGTCTAAAACTAAGAAACGCTGAAATATTAATTTAAATTTATGTATTTAAATCTACGTAAGATGAGACAAGATGTTCATTACTAAAATGTAACAAATGAATAACTAAAAAACTATTCAAATGTGATTAAAGTGTGGCACATTGAGCTATGCTTTATGAATGATTCACGCACCATGACAACCACTTCAATAACAGTTCAAATCTAAAATAACAAAACAACAAGTTATGCAGCCATTTTTTTTTCCCGCTTATCTGAAGTCGGCTCGTGGAGGGAGGAGCAGAGAAGTCCTGCCTCCACGATCCGCCACCTCCTCCAACTTATCCTGGGAAACATTGAGCCATCTCTCCAAGTGTGTCCCAGGTATACACTGGGGCCTCCTCCTAGTAGGACGTGCCCGTCTGAACACCTTGTCAAGGAGGCGACAGCTTTAGCCGTCACCCTATTGCTAAGAGAGAGGCCATCGACCTTTTGGAGCACCAATTAAAATGTAACAATTAGATTAAACCACTAGTAACTCTGGTACTGACTAGTGACAACAGTGTTGATTAGTCTGCTAGGACACAATATGTGCACATCCCTGGAAACTCATGAATATTCGCCCCTAACATTCTACAAAAGGAATACAATTTATAAAGGTTGATTATTTTCTCTTGTCGTCTTGGTCCAACTGCTCTCACTTTCCCCCCCATCTCTACATAAAAGTCAAGTTTAATCCTACAGCTACATATGGCCTCAACCTGCATCAATAAGGTTGCCCTACATTTTAGATTCTTGCATTAGGAGAATACGCAGTCTATGAGAGAATTCCAGCTGAGGTGTCTTTATATTGCACCACAAAGCAACTTTTTTGCCAAAGAACCGGAGAATTACTGATCTTTTCATATTGGACAACACAAGCTTTTGTCAATTCACCTCTTTCCAAAAGACTGTGGATGTAAACTTCACGTTGCATTTTGTTTGAACACACTAGTAGTGATGCAATGTGGCGGTATCCACACAGATAAAACTATTCTCAACTTTGAGGCGAGTACTTGTTACTAATGGAGTGAAGAAAACTATTAATTGACATAAGATGGGGTGTTTGTTCATGCAATTTATGAAGGAGGCATGAGAAAGACCTAACAAACATTTTCAGTTACAGGTTTCAAGTTGGCCCTGTCATGATAACTTGCACATCCCCTGAATTAGAGGATCTCCCATGCAACCATATGTCCACTAGTGTTCAGCTGCCAACTACAAGGTGATGCGTAGTGAGCGAATTTCTTTTTATGCTGATTGGGCTTAAGTTGTGTTGTGAGGTGAGAAAAGATTCCCTCATCACATTTTTCCCTCCATTTGCCCATCAACAATTCCTCACCATTTAAACGTCTCTGAAATGGAAGGTCTTCACCTACATACCTTGTAGGCCGTGCTGTTTGAAGAATCCACAATGACAAAAAGAGGCTTCCGGGTGAAAGGGAATAAGTCTCCTGGATGAAGGCTGCAATATGCCAAGCAAATGTAACTCAGCAAACCCTCAGTGAGGTTCTGCACTTTTCAAGTAACATAGATAGATTCTTAGTAAGCTCTGTCACACATTATGACTTATGTAAACATATTTAGAGTCAGGCTTTCAGCACGAAAGCCTGAAAGCCATTTACTTATTAGTAAAAGTAATAGGTAAAATCACTTCCTCTGATTTTGGTTTAGATGCTGTCAACTGAATAAACAAAGCAAAGTTAGAAGTATTGCTAGGAAATTCTCACCAATGCATTTCCTTCTGGGCCTGATTCCTCTTCTGCACCGTCTCTCCATTCACCACATCTCGATTTGTATTTGTGAGAACTCCTCCAAAATCATATGGTCCTGTGGGAAAGGGTTAGACGCTTCTTTGGTGTAACTTGAAAAGACTGTATCGGTCATAAATATGCATTGGTAATGCTTGGTAGAAGCCACTGTCCACAACATCTTCAACCACCTGAGGTACAAATTCAACAGCATTCCAAGAGAGGCTAAGTATACTGAGTCTGAACGGACCTTGTTCTGCATTAGGGATGAGACTTGAGAACCGGTTCCCAGTAGTTCAATTTCTTTTAATTGTTAGTGTGCTTGCCTATTGATCCTGCTTAACGGTTTCATTTGCACTTGCTGTAAACAGCTGATTTCAGTTGTATATTGTTAAATGGTAATTATAAGACAATGCATTTCAGGTCATTTTAAAGTGAAATGCAAAAGTACTGTAACGAGTAGTGTAACAAATTACTTTCTTTTGGGAGTAATTAAGTAATGCACAATTTTACTTTTAATTGTAATAAACTTTAAATAATGACTCCCAACCCCGATCATAACAGAGGGGAAATACCTATATGTCTTTGATATACTGCTGAGCAATGGAGGTGACTCTCAAAACTGAGCCAATGGGGACTCAATGAGAATTGATAAGGAACCGAATAGTTAAATGAAGTTGAAAACGGAATCAGCTAAATTCTTATCAATTCCCATCCATATTCTAGATCCCCTTTGATGTGGCGGCAAAGTGATTGGTGCCTGGTGTGGTGGTAATCCATGAAGGGAGCCATCAAGCTGAAAAAGGAGTCCTGTTGGGCTTGATTAGCCTGTAACACATTGGAGGCAGTTGATGTCAGCAGGCCAAGCAGAACAAACTGTGGTGTGGGAGCGGTGAAGCCATGGAAAAAGATTTTTGGATGGACAAACCGTGAGGCGACTCAGGAGGGAACTATAGGGGCATCGTACTCCTCAGCCTTCCTGGGAAGGTCTATGCCAAAGGAAAGGAGAGTTTGTCCGTTAATTGAACCCAAGATTCAGGAGGAACAATGCGAGTTTTGTTCTGTGTCTGGGAACACTGAACCAGGACGTTATCCTCTCGAGGATATTCGAGTGTCTGTGGGAGTTTGCACAGCCAGTCTCCATGTGTTTTTTGGACTTGGAGAAGGCATTTGACTATAACCCTATGGTACCCTATAGGGGGTGCTGTGTGAGTCAGGGTGTTCAGCCCATTGTTATGAGGAATCCAGTCCCTTGGTCTGTATTGCCGGCAATAAGTTTGACTTGTTTCTATTGGGTGCTGGACTCTCTCAGGGCTGCCCTTTGTCACGATTCTGTTCAGACTTTTTATGGGCAGAATATTGAGGTGTGGCCAAGTGGTGAAAGGCTTCCAGCTTGGTGACCTCAGAATTTCAGCTATGCTTTTTGTGCACGATGTGTTCACAATTGAGGAAAGAGGGGAGCAGGAGATCGACAGACAGATTGGAGCCGCAGCTGCAGTGATGCAGACATTATACCGGTACATGATGAAGAGAGAGGTGGACATGAAAGAGAAGCTGCGGATTTACCAGTTAATGAAGCCAAAGCTGAACCATGGACACAAGCAAAAGAACGAGATTGGGAGTAGAATCAGGGGAAATTAGCTTTCTCCAAAAGGTGGCTGGAGTCTCCATAGACGAGGAGTTCAGCCATCTGAGAGAGACTCAGATTAGAGCTGCTACTCCCCGAAAAGAGCCAGTTGAAGTGGCTCGGCTATCTGACAAGGACGCCTCCTGGATGCCTTATGGTTAAAGTGTTCTGCGTATGTCCTACTCGGAGAATGCCCTGGGGTAGAACCAGTAGGACACACTGGAGAGATTATACATCTCGGCGGGTCTAGGAAACCCCGAATAAATTGCAGGTGGTGGCTGGGGAGAAAAGAATCTGGGCTTCTCTGCTCACACTGCTGCCCCTGCGACCCAGCCCCCGATAAGCAGAAGAAAATGGAAGGCAGGACACGAGTGCTGCAAACATGCCTACTATAACAAAAAACTCTTGAAATGGCAGTGTTGCATTTGCTGTTGTCTCTAATTTATTGTTATTAGTTACATCCATGACTTTGCTTGAATGTTTTTTAAAAACTTTACATCAGATAAAACCTGGAAGCCTGTCTCACGAACCAGACATTTTTGACTTTTTCAAGACATTTCATCAGATTTCTTTCACGTATTTTCACTTTTACTTCCTACCACAAACATGTGCTAACAGCTGTAATGACATTACTGATCTCCACTCCGAATCGGTCTATTATCGTATTCAGAAATTCCATGAAATTACAGACAAAAAAAACAAAACAAAAAAAGAAAAACATACCCTCATAATCTGAATGCCCAGTAGGGAAGACTCCAGTAGCTGACAGGTAGATGAGCAGAACACTGTTAGCAGGTAGCTCCTGGAAATAAAAGTGGTAAGATAAAAAAATTAAGTCACAAATTCAAGTATTTCATTTTACTATAACTACTAATCTTAAATAATTTACAGCGCATGATAACCGAAAAACTCCATTCAATTCAGTTGAAATTATATAGCGCCAATTCACAACCACGTCTGTCTGAGTATGATAATACAAGCTTGGCACACCCATTTTTTAGACAGTTTCTCCCATTCTTCTTTGTAGAACCTTTCGAGCTCAGGTTGGACAGGAAGGGTTGGGGCAAAGACATTTTCAGATCTTTTCAGAGACGTTCAATCGGGTTCAGGTCTAGGCTCTGGCTGGGCCGTGACTCCTTTGTTATCGTGACTGTGCGTAGGGTCGCTGTCCTGTTGGAAGATGAGCCTTCACCCCAGACCAGGGTCCAGAGTGCTCTAGAGCACATTACCATCCAAGATATCTATGTACATTGCTACAATTATCTTGCCTTCAAGTCAGACTAGTCTCCCAGTTGCTGGTGCCAAAAACATCCCCGTACCATGATGCTGCCACAACCATGATTCTCTACAGGTATGGTAATGACCAAGTGCTGAACAGTACCTGGTTTCCTCCAGACATGATACTCAGGCCAAAGAGTTCAATCTTTGCTTCATCAGAACAGAAAATATTGTATCTCATGGCCTAAAAGGCACCTGAAGGACTCCAGGTGGGTTGTCATGTGCCTTTTCTGAGGAAAGGCTTCCATCCAGCCACGTTACCACACAGGCCTTAATAGTTGAGTGCTGCAGAAATGATTGTGCTTCTGCAAGGTTATTCTCTCTCCACAGAGCAATGTTGGAGCTCTGTCAGAGTGAGCATAGGGTTCTTGGTCACCTCCTCAACTAAGGTTCTTCTACCCCGAATGCCAGGAAGCCACAATTAGGAAGAGTTCAGGTGGTTCCAAACTTTTTCTATTTGTGAGTGATAGAGGCCACTTTGCTCATTGGGACGTTCAATGCTGCAGATATTTTTCTGCACACTTTCTCAGATCTGTACCTCGATACCATCCTAACTCAGAGGTCTACAAATGATTCCTCACACTCCATGGATTTGTTTGGGCTCTGACATCAATCATGCCCAATCCAATCCCACCGATTTACCTGATTTACTGACTTGAGTGGATATATATATGTTCCCTTTATGAGCTTAACTTGAAAACAATGCCCAGATAGCAGTGGAAAGAAGTGAGGATATAAATATTAACAATGCAAATAATGTAAATATATAATACATCTTGGAGATAAAAATCTCAACTTATTGAATATTTATTGAGGAAACCTGCGATCATACTGACCTTAAAAGAGGCAGACAAGAAAGTAAAAAGCTGGCTGAAGGTTGGCTTATACAGCAAATACTTGTGAGGGTTTTCTCTCTTCGCTGGCTTTTCGTTGGGTTCCTGTGGAGAAACATCACACAAAACATTGCATGTGTAAAGAAAAGATTGTTAAAACCTTATGTAAATGCAAGTGAAATCAAAAGGCTTCTAGGCCCGGGGCTGAGGCACACTGCTGTGTGTACAGGTGTATTATGTGGTTTTATGATCCCTATACATTATAAATGTATAAGCCATTTGTGCATTTATACATGTGGTACAGTAATAGTATCTTCATTAACAGACAAGCAGATTGGGATTGGACAGTAAATGTGTTCTTGTGCAAATCTATACAGTTTATACAGAGGAACAGTTTGTGCTGTGGATAAATCCTATCAGAGACTCACGCGATGGACATGCGTCAACCAGCATGCAGCCTGTTTCAGTTGCTCCTGTATTTTTAATCCATACTTTAAACCTTTTCCTTACTTTCTTTGTCTTTTACTTATTATTGTAGCATGTTAGTTTGTTTTCAATAGTTTTCTCTCAAACATGTGGGTTGAGAAAGTTTTTCTTCTCCTTGTTGCCGCAGAACTATTACTTTCATTGAGGAATGCGATTGCGGCATGGCAGTTACACACCACACGCTCTGTGGCTGAAATGGATGCAGAGGTGGGGGACAGAAGAGCACGAGGGAGACCGTAATACAGTGGAGGCTTCAAGCAATGAAGAGCTTTAAGCGGAGTCTCCCATGTAGTATAATGGGGAATGTTAGGTCGCTAGCAAACAAGCTGCATGAGCCAACAGCACTTGCCTGGAGTCAGAGAAGCCTGATGTGCTTCACTGAGTCATGGATTAACCAGGATATTCCAGATGACGATGCATCAGTGGAAGGCTTCCATACTGTTTGGGCCAACATGGACAAGTGGTAAAGCAGGAAGGAGGGGGGCTTGCCCATTATTACCACTACACGATGTGCCTGACACTCACCATCGTTCCTTGCTTGGAGGTCTGTGTGGCCAGGTTTACTGGTTCCCTCTCCAAAGCTTGAAGCATGCGGAACATATCTATGGTTAACTCACTGAACTTCACCTAAAATAAATGACAAACAATATTAATATATCAAGTTACTGTTTCAGCCTTCATTGTGGTTTGAAAAATTATTCAAAGTCACACACAAACACAATTGTTTGCCATACACAGAAAAATGAGAGCCCTCAAAGATAAATCAGTGCTGCAGTTATAATGAAAATGAAACAAAAACAACTACTGGTTATATTGTAATCTTCTCCTACAAAGTTTGACAAATATTTTAGTTTTTTGGGTCATAACAGCCAGGAGTGAGCAGTGCAAATACTATCAGCACTTCAGAAACTGAATGTTAGTGTAAACTGCACAGAAAGCAGAAAAAGATCAGATCAGAGGCCCAGAGAGAGGACGTATATGAAATAATAAAATAATCCATCCATCCATATTACTTGAGAGTCAATGTCTCAAGTTTTCTCTGAAAAGAGTTGCAGCAATTGTGGAAATAGAAATATATTGCTTTTCTAGTCTTAGTACCCAGTTAAGGCACTTTAGATTACAAATAACATTTAACTAGAACATGCATGCAGTATCCAAAGGAAACCACAAAGGTACATTGAGGAACATGCAACTTCTACATCGAAAGACCCCAGCCAGGTTTCAAGCCTTCTTGCTGTGAGGCAACAGTGCCGATCATTGCACCACCATGCTGCTCATGCTGATGTGTGTTAAGTTTGAGAAACCATGAATCAGATTTAGTGGGTTAGAACCTGGTTGTTACTGTTGCCGATGATTAGTGCGTCAGCAAGGATGAGCTGCCCAACCACCATGCCTTGTTCCAGTGGAGGCACACTTCCCTCCTGCAGCCGATTGCTGATGGTGACGACAGAATTGTTGTCGTTCAGAACTACCACAGGATCTGCCTGTTACAGACAAACAATTGAAGAAGAGCAGTTGAAGAAATAGTGCGGATCCAGTATATCACCCAGCAGGCAAGAGGAAGAACAGAGACTTCTCTGTTTACCTGTATGTGCACAAACATGACAATTATAATATAATGAATAAATTACTAACATAATGAAATAACATCAAACAGTATTAGGCTTGGATGGTTATTTACCTCTATAAAAGCTGCCACTTCCTGCAGAACCAGGTTCCACTCCAACTGGTCCTCTGTGTTGAAACGCTGTGTGTAGTCTTCAATTTCCTCAGATAACTCCTGCAGATGGCAGATAGGCAGGAAGAGCAATAAGAGGTGTCATGAAAAAAAACGAACAGTTTTGAATTTTTACACAATCATAAAAGTAAATCGTGAACAAAATTCATGAAGTAGACTACCTCATTCACATTTACAGGGAGAAAAAACCCAAAATATTAGCACAGTTCAATACAATATCTGCAGCTCCTTAGATCTAGAAAATATTCTAACGTTAAAAAAAAAAGAGAGAACCTAAAAGAGAGATTTGCAAAACCTGTTAATGGTACCTCAACATGTACAAAGTGTTGATCTTTGACAACACGAGCAACATACCCAATAATGATAACATACTTTCTATTACAAATTAAGAAAATACACTTCTCAGCAAAAACAATAAAACCACTGACAGGTGAATGGATTTACATTGATTGCTGTGTTTTGACTTGTTTAATTGAGAAAGATAAGGCTTAACATAAGAAAACTTGGCTTATGGTATTCATGTAGATACTACTCCGACTTGCACAACCTACCTAAACATTTTGAAGACCATGCACAACCCTCTTGATGCGAGTGGCCTCATTACTAACTACTAAGCTATTAGTCCAAAACCAAGACACTTACCTTTTCCTCCTCACCCAATTCAGCTTAATATTAAGGGGGATTTTTTTTAAGCATTATAATACAGCATCTTCAACTTTGAAGGTATTGAGTGGACTGTAGACAGGTACTACACTTGGCAAATTATAGTTTCGACTATTACAAAATGGTTTTCCCTTATAGGTACACTTTGACTGTTTCTTCCTTTATTTAGCTGTTTTTGGCCCCTTTTTTTAACTCTATAACATGCCTTTCGTTCTAGTATTAGTAGTCGATATACACATTAATACAAAGTTATCACTTTGTAATTATAGTCATGTGAATGTACCTCATTATTAAAACTGTTACCTAATGACTGAAACCCTGCATACCAAGCTGTAATATAAAGTACTAACAATATGGCTTCCATACCTTCACCAAAACTTTGACAAGGTCCATCTTGTTTAAAAGTAAACAGACGACTATGTAGCGAGCATAATAACGAAGCTTCTTCACTACTAATTCAGGCCTGATGAAAGACAAGAAAAGACAATATGAGCGGGCAAACACAAACAAATCAACATAAAGCACTATCACAGTTGAAGCAGTGTTTATTAAATTGACTGGAGCCACCAAATGGTTCACCCTGTGTTTCTTAAGACTCCAATAAACATTTTTGTCTTTTCAACAAATATTTGATGTAAATATCTACACTCTGGGAGCGTGAAAAGAGAAATTTTGCTCATTTTTGGGGAAAAAAGACATCAGATCGTGCACACTCACATAAAAAGGCGAGTTTCACACATAATATGACTCTTACACACTTAAATGATCCCCAAGAGTGCAGTCCAGTCCGCTCAGACACATTATCAAATAATGATTAAATGGAGATAAAAATCTATAAAGAATGTTATACACTTAAAAATGTAACAGTACAAGAACAAATAGCACAAGAGCTTAATGCTGCAGAAATTCATTAATCTTGGGATTTAGCATAACGAGCAAAAAATTAGACATTTTAATTCCAGTTAATTATTTCAACGCTGAGGGAAATCTTGGTGCTGCTGTTTATATCAAATGTGATAGCTGCACGTTAGAGCTCTGAAAGCTTAAACTGGATCATTTTAAACATTCTAGGTTACTAGTAGCTGCAGTTCCAACTGTGTAAAAGAGACTTGGCAGCAGATTATAATAAATTATAACATTTATATATTTACAGCTGGGCAACAACTTGCACATTTGAGACATGTTTGCCCAGCGGGGAACCTAAATTGCGCTTAAAACATGGTGCAAATAAAAAAAATCAGTGAAATGTGGAGGTTCCAGACGACTAAACTGAAACATAACCTACTCCTAGTAGGTTATGCCTGGAGCATAAGTCACCATGGTGACCCAGCCAGGTAATAAGAAAGCCACTTTCACACATAGTTGACAAAGTAGTACACCCCTCTGAATCAGCAATCATACTAACTTCATTGGGAGTTTTTTCGTAGTATGATCTCATTTCTTAATAAGGTAAATTTAAACAGGCTTATTATACATAACGTTTAAAGACATCTTACAAAAACTGCAACTTACACTACTTTAACAAAAAATATCTGGAGCTTACCTGTCCTCTTTGTTGACCTGAAAGTAGTAGGAGCGCTGACGAATGGCTGAGTAGAATGAAAAGGCCTCATTCAGGTAACTTGTTTCTGAGGTACGAAGGCTGTCAACAAAGAGGAATACATATTTCAAATTTGCATCTTTTTAAACAAATCTGCAAGTGGTGATTGATAAATTGAACGAATGCAGCAGCATTCATTTGCTTTTCTGTGTTTAGTTTTGACACCAGGGACAATGAGCTGAGCTGTTTGCGGCTACCTGAGAGCTCTCAAAGTTTCATAACATACCAGATCTAACATGTATTCACTGTTTTACTTCAATGATAAAACAAACAAACAAACAAAAAAACATAAAGATGTGAAAACTGGACTAATGTGATCTCTTTTCTATCGTCTTACAGTAGAGCTGTCTAGAGATTCTTTGCTCTAAACCTTTTCTAGTTGGAATTTCCACAAACCACTGATTTCTGTTTTTCCCCTAATTTTTTATTTGGATTACATTCTCTAAAGCACTTCCTGAGTTCTGTGTTTGAACAGCTCTACATAAATAAACATTGCTTGCTTGCAGTTAAGTAATGCAATATTTAAAGTTATAATGACTAGAATACTCAAAGTAGTAACAAGAAGTGGATAAATATGGGCACTTCCATTGTGGTGACAGACTAGCTTTTTCAGATGTAGTTGCCACTGAATTAAATTATCATTATTATTTTTTTAAGGAGTGCATTTAAGGAGTTTTGTGGGCTGTAAAAACAGTGTTTGGACGTTTCCTGCTTATGCAGAAGTGGCTAATTTCATCATGCCCAACACTTTGCCAGTTCTTTTTTTTTCCCTTAACGGTTGCTGGAAAAAACCTTCTAGGTGCAGTAGGGATGGGAAAGATTTCAGTTTGTGTGCAGGAGGAGTAAAATAGTGGTGCAGGCTGCGGCGTGTATAAGGAAATAATTTTTTGTTTTTATTGCACAAAAAGAAAATTGCGCGATGGTAAAGTGGAGACTGCATCCAATACAGTAACATCTGCATTGTGCTGCTAACAAAACTTCAGATCTTTGCAAGCGCCTGCACAGACAGCATGCTATCGCTAAGCCAGCCAAGAACAATAATTCTATGTTAGTGATATTTTAGTGTACTGTCGTTTTCTCAAAGAATGTACGTGATGCTGAAATAAAATCAGTGGCAAGTCTTCATGAAAACGGTAAAATATACTGTCGTCTTCCACCATCTGAGTTAGGGAAGGTATGCTGATACTAAACAGACATGGAATTTTCGGGACCCTATGTTGGGACCCCAATAAGCAGTCCACTTCATTCAAAAGGCAACAACACATGTATCCTACCTGATGACTACCCTATCCTTAGTCAAATTAATAATGCTGCAAAACATTGATACATGACTCAGGAGGCCCTGTCACTTACTAGTAGTGGTAATAAAGCTGTCCAATTTTGGATGCAACTTCACCAATCTGCCATCTCTTCAGTCCATACCGACTGTCCAGAACCTGCCTGTCAGTAAGTATACAAAGATGTCAAACTTAACATTGAGACAGTGATAAAACCAACCCTTAGAAAGAAAAAAGAACATTCTTCATTCAAGTATTTAAACGGTACAAGAAAAAAATAACCTGTGTTGTTGCTGGAATTTCCATAGCTTAGTGTAGACGTCAAAGGTCCGCCCAAAGTAGGACTGCCACTGCTTGTGTCCATATTGAGGAAGGTCTCTGCAGCAAAAGACGGCATAAAAGAGGAAAGAGAAGGCAAGAAAAGCACACAAAAAATTCAACTGATTGTGTTCAGCCTTTCAAACAAACTCCAATAAAAAGAACAGTGAAAACATTCGTGAAACAGAGTTGTTAGCACTCTTGGTGCTTTTTGTGACCCCAGTTACTTTTTTTTGTTCAAGGAAAAGCGATGACCTTTTTGTTCCATTACATGCAACACACATTATACAAATTTGTACAGAAATGGGGCGTCTTTTTACCCAGAGCTCAGTAATTATTTGAAAACTATTTTTTCAATTGCAACGATGCCTTCCAGTGACCGGTTTTTGAGAAAAGTGATTATTAAGCCACATTTAGTGTTGCAAAGATACTCTCTGTTTGTCTTGAGTTTTACATCCAGCATATCCCTTCCTGAAAGCTCAAGGATATCTCACATGTTCAGCTTACAATTATCCTTGTCTTATCACTCGAAGGCCACACACACCGGGCAGCTTAAAGCCTTACCTTAAAATGTTAATGAATGCTATTAATTAGATTTTCCTTTCTTCATGCTCCAATATTCAACCAGTAAAATGTGCTAAACAGCTTTTTAAAGCAGGTTAACAATTACAGTAAAGAAAATGACACCATGCTGCACATTGTTATTAGCTATGGTTAATTTTCAAACCTTTTCAAGCTTTTAAATTTTCAAGGTAAACTTAAAATACACTTTTTATTCTCATAAAACCACCATGCACTAAAGACAGAAAACTACAATAAATGCACATTAACTGAGACAAAACCCTACATGGATAGCATACATAATTAGTGTATTCTGATACACACATATGAGAATATATTGATGGTATTAAATTTGATCCTAGCTGATCTCTTCTTACAATGCTCACACGCCAACATTACTACAGTGAATGGTGAACAACCAAAATTAAACTGGATGTTTAACAATAGTGCTTCATATTTCAACAATACTCTGAATTTGTGCGCCCTCTAAATCCTAACTTTGACCTGATGACCCGCTCCCTCTGTCAATGATTCAAATGTGACCAAAAGGCAGCGTCAGCCCTGACTAATGCATCACAAACCCAGTGCGTCACTTTCATCTCAGAACAAAACAAGCAGAAGGCACCAGGGTACAAAAGGATGGCTGGCTGATTATCTAGCTCATAAGACGCTTTCACAATACTTCACTCATAATTTTTAAACATACAATATGATTATTGTATGAGTATTGCAATAACATATACTGAGATTTATCACCTTTTCTAAAAAATAATAATAAAATAAATTATGTCCTAAAAGTTAATCTGTTTTATCCAGTAAGATGAAGTTATGATGGGCATTATTGTAAGAGCCAGGAAGCAGGCACTTTCAGTCCTGCCTGTCTGTAAAATTAACAAAGAAAGTATTAATTTACCAGGATAACACAATAACTTGTGTCTGAAAAGTATTATGTTTCTCTTTTCATCTTAAAGTCCCAGATTTAAGCTGAAATAAAAATCATTCTATTAGCAACTAGACATAAACAGTGGCAGCCTACCTTACCAACCTTGATCAATAACAAAAATATGGTGCCAAGCCACCAGAAACACAGAAAAACAAACAGTAGGGCTAGAATGTTTTAGAGATTTCCCAACTTCCAGCCATTAACCACAATCGCTAGATCCCTGGCTGTACGAAACTGCATGCCAAAGATCCTTGGGCAAGATACAAACCCCAAGTTGCTCTCCGGTGCAACGACTGGAGTGAGCATGTCTTTTTTCACACCTTTCAGTCTTTAACTTATTAATGGGATGCTTTTGCAGACTGTGAGTACATTTGAAAATAGCAAAATGAAGCACCAACATCGGTCATGGCTTTGGTTTATATCTGTGTCAGTTTTTCATTCAGCAGAACAGAGTCACTAAGAGCTAGGCTTCAAAAGGCAATATTAGCTAAAATTTTACTATTGGAAAAGTAAATGCAAGTTAACTTCGAAACTTTTCATAAAAACTGGGAGTACCCAACATATCCATGTCAGTCGGGGGCCTGGCCCCATTTTGTACTCAATTTCTTAGTGTCAGTTCTGGCCAGCTTGGCTTATATCAAATGGCAGGTTTACCAACTCAGCAGGAAAACTCCTGCTACTCCAGATGGCCAGTCTCTGTTTATTCAACAGTTTTTCTGAAGCTTTCTGAAGCTGTGATAGCCACTCTAACAATATCGCAAGAAACAAATCCAAAAGAAATGTGACTAGGAATGCATCTGAGGACTAGATTAAGTGTAAACTACAATATCTTGCTTCGTGTATGACAAAAAGAAAACAAGCAACCTTAAGAACCAAGTAAGGCCAAGGCTTCAGTCAGGGTGATTTGTGTAGTTGCCATTTTTTGAATTGTTGTGAGCAGCATGACCCTTGTCAGTTTTTTGTTGGTTTTTTTTTTTTACAACTCCAACAGCAAACTCTAATCTTAGAATCTTTTCTAGATGTAAGGAATTGTGTACAAAAGACAAAAGTGTAAAAAAACCAAAGAGCTTCTACGCTTAAGCGCTTTAAAGCTTTGCTGTATTGATGACAGCTTTGTACATGCTTGGCAACATCTTAACATTCAGCTTCTCACCCAGAATGGGTAGTGTTATTGATAAAATTTCTTCCTTTCTTATTGTGTGTTCAGACCCAACACAAATGGCACTTTTAGATCCAATAAAGGACTAGATGTTACAATCCCAGTCTACAGCATAAAATCCTCTTCTGTTGTTACATTGTATTTATATTAAGTCACATTGAAACAAACAAACAAACCACAGTAACAATTTTGCAAATAAAAAGCGTGAGTAGTTACTTTTGCTGTGATTTTATGCACGGGACAAAGTAACAGTAACTTTATTAAGATGTGGATTGCCGTCTAATTGGGTCTGCCTGTTTTGGACATATTAATTTGTCCTCCTTTTAGTAGATTGCCTAACTCATGCCTGAAATGAACAGGCTACTTCTATGCTTATAAATAAATTACTTAGTGAAAAATCTAGGACCAGTACTGCTTCTTGATCTCAGGAGTTCTGCTCAGAGTGTGAGGGACACTTCTTTTTCCTTCTGTAACATTCAGTAAGCTGCAGCAAGTAAATGGTAAATGGCCTGTATTTATATAGCGCCTAACTAGTCCCTAAGGACCCCAAAGCGCTTTACATATCCAGTCATCCACCCATTCACACACACATTCACACACTGGTGATGGTAAGCTACATTGTAGCCACAGCCACCCTGGGGCGCACTGACAGAGGCGAGGCTGCCGGACACTGGCGCCACCGGGCCCTCAGAAACATCATAGAGACATCATGTTGCTTCTAGCTTTCTCTCTAAGTGATCATCTCACTTGTAAAATGTAAATAAAAGCGCAGTTGGTATCTTTGATTTATGTCCGTGATCATTCTGTCAGCTGACATTGCGGACGAGAAGAAGCAGCATAACAAGAAGGTGGAACATAAAATGCAATTGGGGCAAACTCCAACAACGGGTGGAAATGAATCCACTAAAATGGCTTGCACTCTATAGCAATCACAATTAGTTTCTAAAGAGTGTAAATAGGTCAGCAATGCTCAGCTGATAACTGCTTCAGTTATAAAATGTTTCAAACTTCAAATCAGGAAAGTACGACAAATAGCCATAAGTGGCATGAGTTAGTTAATTGTGTTGATGCATAAATGTTGCCCATCCCGTTTCCAAGATATACGTTTATAAGAAAGATATTAAAGATTGGAGATCGCTAGTGATTATGTCAACATTAGCCATGGCTCTCACTCTAGATGAATCACAGAGATTATATCTCTTAAAACGGGAACCTTCATTCATTTTTTCAGCAGAAGACTAATAGCAAAGACATACAGGAAAGCGCCTAAAGGACATCCCTGTTTCACCCCACTGGAAACAAAAGGTTCACTCAAAAAGCCATTTACTTTTACTTACACAATGGACTTTTATGAAAATTCACATATGTCTATATCACTGTCTACAAGTAGGAATGTGAAACATAAACGCTTTCTTTTGATGCAAACCTATATAAAGAAGCCTGTGTCATTGCCAGTATATACAATTTCTCTTAAAGTTATCTCACATCTGAAGACTACAAGTCTATTTTTATCAATAATGATACACACATCATTAACTCCATTCATTAGAATTTTAGCTAATATTTTATAATCCACATTCCTTATAGATTGCTGCCTGTAATTATTTAAATTTTGATTTGATTTTGATTTTATTGATTAGCATTCAAATTCAAATCTCAGTGAAAACAGTGAAAAAAAAACCAAACAAACAGTGAAAACAGAACAAAAATCTACCATAAAGAAAGAAAGCATGAGACAAGGCTAATCAAAAGGTATTGGCTGAAGCATTTGCTTATTACGCCAACCCTTTTCACAAAATATCTTTTTGTATGCAGCTCCTGTACACAGGGCTTGAAGAAAATAATAATAAAACAAAGCAAAAACCAAACAAACAAACAAACAAACAAACAAACAAAAACAACAACAACAACAGAAAACTTTCCACCTTAGATAAGTAACTACATCAAAGCAAAAGAATCAAGAGGTTGTTTTCTTTCCTCCTTTTTGCTCTTTTCATTCTTGATTTATATATTTTTCTATTACTCTATTTTTAAACATGTTTTTAAACAAGGAAAATGAACCACACCTTTTTAAATCACTGTCAAGGTTGCACTATATATTCTATAATACTTTTAACTAATATCATGTCAATACCAAAACAGTCAGTGGACTTTTTATTTTTAAATGTCTTCACAATGTTAATTATTTCTCTATGAGTTGCAGCACCAATAAACATGGAGGACACATTCTGAGTAATATGTTTATTCAGGTCGTTATTATTTCTTGACTCTGGAATTTCTTTTGCTAAATTAAAGCCAACATTTACAAAGAAATCATTAAATTCATTTGCAATGTCTTTAGTTTTATCAAGCACAATATCTTTATCTTTTTTAAAATAATCTGGATAATTCTTATTTTTTGAGCCCTTTTTGGTTATAAATCACAATCATCGCCATTTTTATGAAATAAACACACGACTATCCATCTTACTCGTGTGTAACACAGGTCTATCCATTCCTGCCATTACTCAATCTGAATGAAGCCATGAAGAACATTACCAAAAAGGCGACATTCACAGATTACTGAAGCCACCAATGTGGCACATTCCAGGTCGTGTCACAATCCTACTGTCCAAGATGATACTGGTATACATTTTTATGTGATTTAAAAAACAAAAAAGAAAAAGAAAGTCATATTACGATATGAATGAAATAGCAATGCAATAGGTGGAAACTGGTTTTAGCATTTGAACCAAAACCTTGGAGAATGCCAACAAAATGTTTCATATGCATGCATTTTATTCATTTTATCTGCCTGCAGAAGTTTCAGGATATCAGATTTTATGTTTAAAACACATTTGTTTTGACTAACGTGATATTCTGCTCATTTCATTCTTAGTTATAATTTAATAAATGAATGCAAGCACCCAAAAATGTTTATGGTTTACATTGTATTCATTTTTAAGCCATCAAATAACAAATTTACAAATTTACATGAGCTACACATCAATCCACCCCTCTAACAGACAGGGCACACCACTTCCTACACTGGTACCGAATGCTGCAGAATAATCCAGTGAAAACACACTCTTGAGGGGTATCTGTTCAATGCACTGTAAACCAATGTTAGAGTAGAAAACACAGTCCAGCAGACAGAAGAAAACAAAGTAAATTCCAACCAACCGTAGCCCATTGAAGAGTTGCTTGGACTTGTCCAGGAGATAGCAGAAGTCTGTGACAGTCTTCCTTTCACCTAATGGAATATCATCCTCAGTCTCAGCTCCAGTCATGACACTGACTTTTCACACCTGAATTTAAAGAGAAATACAGACCGTATACGGTCGATACTCTATAGACTGATGGTGATGGATTAAAGAAAACATTTCAGTTACAAAAAAATATTAGTACTCATTGAAACGGAAGGAAACTACATGAAAGTCAGCCAATCAGAACTTGTGACTGACTAAAGAGGAACAATTTAGACCGTTAAAATGAAGCAAAAGATTGTTGTTGTTTTTTTTGTCTTGATTTCCGGAGCAAATTCCTGATACTGTCTATCCTGTAACACTTACATCATTAGTAAACTCCAGTTGTTTTTAAACATCTATAAATAAATTTGATTTGACTTGAAAATAATCTAGTCATATGTAACATGTTGATATGCATGGTTGTACTACTGAACAAACACTGATAATTGGAGTTATCCAAGCGTCTTACTGGTGCCCTACTTACTTATGAATAGAAATAAGAAACTATGGAGGAGGAAATGCATCACATGGTCACCCTTTTTTTAGGTTGACCTGGGATGTCCCATATTTCATTCTCACAGTGGCTGCAGTCTCCAGTTTGCTAAGGATGTACAATCAGGTCAAGGCAGCAGACAGCTAGGGCACAATGTTCAGCTAATGCTCTGCATGTTAAAATCATTTGCAGCTAATGACAATTTTACCGTGCTATAAACATGTCTGGCTATAGCCCCTAAGTTACTGTGCATGTGTGTGGCTCTACATCTGTTTGGCTTTTAAGTAATGTAAATCCATAATTTCAAACTGAAGAGTTAAAAAAGGAATTTTTTTATACATTGAAATTCAATATAAACCTCACCTTAACAGATTTTTCAGATTAATTAAGCACTGCCTAAAAGTATAATTTTCCTGTACTTGTGTGGGCATTTGATGCCATGACGGTGTATGTGGTGAGAAACGGCAATAGCAACAAACAAAGCCCTGTCACATTGAGTAGTTATGTATGTAGCTGCATGTCATGAAATACAGTTAACAGTCCATTAATCCTTTTCTGAGTGGGCGTGCCTGTGGGCGTCAGTGTTTGCAGTAGCAGAGTCGGGATGTTAACTGAACTGTTATGTATGATGGATTATACCAAGTTATTCCAGAATAGATACAATGACAGTAAAGGGCTATTCTAAGTGTTTCTACATTTCTAATATTATGATTTAGGGCTGGGCCATATTATACCGTTCACGGTAATACCGGTATAATGTTAGGCAACTATAGGAAAATGAAATATCGCGATAGAATGGGAGTAAAACGCGCATGCGCAGTGCCTTTGTTTTCATACGCACATGGCCGATTGTTGAGTGAAACAGATGAACCAGAATTGGTTTGTAAAAATGGTGAAACTTCCGTGATGTGGAACTGGTTTGGTGTTTGTCCGTCAGATACACAACAAAGCACATTTTTTTGCAGAACATGCAAGCGGCCGTTGTTATTGTCATATTTGTCGGACTAAGATGCTCTTAAATCTGGAAGTAATCTGGGTCCTAAACTCTGTATGCTTCAGGTCAACCAACACTGCAGCATCACTGAGAGTTAAAAACTGTCTCAATTCTTTCATCTTTAATAAAACGATCAGCATTGCTGCTTTACCAGGTGTAACTATAAAGTTTAACTTCCAGGCATCCATGAAAACAAAATTTATTACATTTAACGGAGTTAGAAGTTAGCAGGAAGCTATCGGAAGTTAGCTCGCTAGTTACCTAAGCATGATATAGCATGTTCAGACTGAGAGATTTCTGAAAAAATTCAAACGTACAGCTCTGCTATCACTTCCAACATAAATGAAGACAGGAAACTAAACAGCAGTGACGTTTGTAGGGTTACTGAAGTTGGGCTAGCTGGTATATAATGATGTGCTACGTGATCGCTAGCGACACAGCTATGTTAGCATAACATAAACAGTGAAGCTGGAGGACGAACACTAACACTTTTCCACTTATAAAAGTTAACGTGAAGGTTCCTCATGGCTAGAGACAAATTCAATCGCATGGCAGGATGCTGTAAACGGACCAAACTTCAGTCAGGAGAACAACTGAGATAATCCATCCACAATACGAGGTTAGTCATTAATATACTGCAACAACATGGGAATAGAGCAGCTGCCAGAGAATTCAACATTAATGAATCAATGGTACAGAAGTGGAGGAAGCAAGAAGAATGAGTTTAATAAAGTTTGATTTATCTGACTGCTTTGTTTCGCTTAATGTGCCTTATAATCCTGTGCACCTTATGGTCCGAAAAATACGTACTGCACACTGCAGTTTAATGTTGCAAATCACCTATTTTTAACTTCAGTGGATATTATACATGGTTATGCTCAGGATATGTCAGCCCATTTCTACTGGAAATGCCTTTTGGTTAAACTTTCAGCAAGGAATTTGCATTTGCACTGTTACATTTTTATAAAGCTTTTAATGTACATAAAAACCAGCTTCTTGTTTAAGTGAAAATAATGGAAGGTTGTCTTTTTGCACTAGTAATGTTGTGGAGTTGTATTTTGTCTCGCATCAATTATATCGTCAGTTATATCGTTATCGCAAATTTTCAAATATATATCGTGATAAATATTTTTGGCCATATTGCCCTGCTCTATTATGATTACAGTTTAGTCCAATGCTAGATTAGCAAAGTCTAGAGTTAAGTGAGTTAGTGGGATGGTGACTATCACTGTGCGCAGGAAAACTTGTGAACGGAACTCAAGCTATCTTTACTTAACTTATGTAATGAAGTAAATGAGTGTAATGACGTGGAATGACACGTCATTACACTCATTTACTTTGGGGTGCTGCTTATATTTTTATTTAAATAAATACGTTTAGGCTATGGTAAAAGTGAGGTTTTTCATGTAAAGATTTTTCAGAATATGCTGCGAACACTTCTGTCTTGTAAGTTAGAGTGCCCTAGCTGCTTCTTAAATAAGACATGCGAAGACGGCACCTTGGTTATTTTTGTATTGTCTAATTATTTCATGAAACTGATGTTCTTTGTATGAAGTGTGTGAAGCCTTATTTTACTTGTAGTACCTAAAACTTATGCTCAGTTTTAAATGAAGGCGAGAAGCTGTGAGAGAAGGTCTGCATGACAATCTCATGCTATACATCATGTGTACCATTGTTTTCTCTCGCTTTCCCTTGTGGCTTACTTATCATGTTAACAGCAGCAGAGTTGGTAAAAACCTGTCTCACCTGTGAACATCTCTTTGTTCCAAACCAACACAACATGCAGCACAAGTAGTATTTGTCACTATGTTTGGAAGAAAGATCTCCAAAAATAACAATCAAGTTTGGAGAATTTTTTTTTTAAAAATTAGGTAAACTGAATACCAATATTATTATCACTGGTAGATGGGTGGCATTCATTTAAATCCAATTCAAATTTCTGTCTTTGCCGGTAAAAATCTGTATCAAAGAGCGTGATTGTGCTATGAGCTCTAATAACATAGCTCATTCCTGATATCTAACATCAGCATCATGAATAAAATCTCAACATAATAAGCATCTGGATATTAAAGATAACAGAGAATACCACATATATGCAGGTGACACTGAGTGCTGGCGGTTGCAGGGCTTTAACCGCCTCTGCTTGTGTAATTGCCATTTGTTCTTACCTGTGCAGCCGGCTAACGGTGACAAACTGTACTATCTTTCACAGAGATGCTTCTCAAAAATCACAGCGAAAGCCTCGACGAGCTCTACTGCTGAAGCGCGACTTTCCTGGCATCTCAGTGCGTGGAAGTGCCACCAGACCGGCTAACGAGTTCCCCCGCAGCGTTGACTGGACTGCTGTCTGTCCGAGCTTGAACGCTGCTCAAAGGCTGTGACAGGCGACGAGAAACAGAAGGCAGGGTGAGGACCGCCGCTGGCACTACTCCACTCCAACTGGCTAGCTATTTCCGGGTCAACTATTTCAAAATAAGAGCTTCACATCGTTACAGTTTTTAATAGCCAAAATTTTTACCAGTAGTAGTATGATCCTATGATTCCTTAATGCCATTTTAGATAATGATTACAAAATACTGGTGGCTCAAAGGTGGAGTGTTTCAATATTAACATTCAATTCAGGCTTAGGTGGCTGGCTTCAGGGTCACCTGATCCAGCCCAGCCCTAGTTGAAGAATCGTAAAAAGGAGTGGGGTTGTCTGTGTATTGAATCCAAACTGGGAGCTGTTTCCACAGAGGAGGGCCCTGAAAGCTGAAGGTTTTGCCTCTCATTCAACCTTTACATATCCAACAAACCACAAATAAAACTAGGGTGTCGTGGGGTGTAGTTTGTGGCTCTGTTCAGGGGAGGGGTGGAGCAGAGGATTCAGGGTGTGGTGACAGGGGAGGCTGGTTGGTGCCTAAAAGGCCCCGGGAAATGAATTTTCCAGGTGACTCATTACAACCCAATGGCCGGTCACATGGGATATGATAAAACTCTGGAGCAGATAATGGCCTGATTTTATTGGCCGGTCATCCTAGCGGATGTGCGCCAATGGTGCGCATTCTGCCTGGAGTTTCAGCTGGTTAACCAGCCAGCCATTCCAAAAGTGCCTTTGCACTCACTGACATTAATAGAGGTCCCTTTTGAGTGCATAGGTATGGTCCTCACTGGGCCATTTCACTGGAATGCATGGGAATAAGGTTTTGTACTAGTTGTGGTCGATTACGGTATCTCGAAGCAGTGCTGCTATGCACCATTTCTGCAATAAGTGTGGGGCAGGCGGTGTTTCAGATCCTCAAATAGATACTGAATGACCAGGGCACACCATTCTGTAAATCTGTTCGGACCAGTATGTACCACCCTCAGACTGATGGGCTGGTGGAGCAGCTGAATAACACTTTAAAGTTCATGATTTGTAAGTTTAGTCACGAGGATGAAGGCAATTGAGCTCGCTGGTTAGCACATCTGTTGTTTGCGGGAGGCCTCCACGGGTTTTCTCTCTTTGAGTCGCTGTTCCGCAGAAAGCCGCAGGGGGTTTTGGACCTAGTTAACAAAAATTTGAGGAAGGTCCAAGCCTAGCAAAAAATTGAAATTTAAACACATTTAAACTTAAAAAAAAAAAAAAAAGTTAATCACATTGATTTTACATTCTTTCCAAGTGTCATAGTGTAAAGCCAAAAAGGATAAAAAAAATAAATAAACTGAGCTTGTTTTAGGAGTAAACCCACACCAAATTAATACCTATAGAAGAAACAGAAACAAGCACTGGTGCCCTGGATGTTTGATCTGTTGTCTGATGATTGATGGAGAGAACTTCAAAAAGTGCATTTTGGGTAAATTTTGAAGGGTCACGTCAGGTAAGAGATGTGGTTGCTCTAGATAGCTTCTGTCATTTGAAACCTCTCCCTTTTACCTACATTTAGCCTCAGTAAATTTGAGTTTGGCAATCCTGGGCCAAAATTACATCATTAGTAAGGTTCAAATGACAACTACTTGCAAATATTAAGGAAGAATGTTTTATTGAAATTAAAACAACAACAACAAAAAACAAAAACAGGAAAACAATGTTAAAGAGGCCTATGCTCTCCTAGAATTACAGCTACTTTTCAGCTATTTATTTTTCCACAATTAAAGATTCTGCTTATAAAATGCCATAATTCATCACACTGCGGAGATGGATGGGAAATTTTAAAAAGAAAGATACCTGTGGGAACTTGCCATTTAAAAAAGAAAAAAAAAAATCCATGTGCAGTAGCAAGACACTTTTTGAACTGAATAAATAAAAAAGGAAAACTAAACTGAAGCTAAAGTATGAAATCAGCAGTTAAGGCAAAACGCTGAGAGAATCGCTCAGGAGCTTTTTACACAGTGAATCAAAGGAAACAGTATTTATCACGTCACTTATATGCATCTATTGTTGGCACGCGCTACTATAAATATTTGTCAATTACTTTCCTTGGGAGGGATACATAAGATCAAAAATTGTAATTATTTAAAATATGAAGTCATTTAACAGTATGAGTCTGGCATTGGGCGTATAAAAAGATGTTTCCTACTTTTATGGCAGAATGTGGGTGTGGTGCAAACAGACTGTAGCTTAAAGAAACTCTTTGCTACTCAAAACACTCTTAACTTGTGTTAATTTCCTAAAACATGTTGTGAGTTTACAAAAAAGGAAGGAAGCACGGCATGGATCTGATGGCTGACCCAACAGGTGCTCTTCAGCTGCACAGAGAGAAGTGCAAAAAACAAAATCCAGGAAGTCTTATAAGATTTCCTGCATGTAATCTTTTGCTGAATAATATTTGAGGGATGAGAAGTCCAGAGGGTAGCGCTAAGAGAAAACTTCCGCTTTATCATTAGAGAAAGTAGGGGGTGGTTGTTCGAGGAGGTATCACACGTTCAGAGTCGGGAACGGCTCGAAACAGCTTGGGCTCTCGTCTGTTGACGTCCTTGAAGACCATGATGGAGGCAATGTTCCCACAGCGGTAGCAGTAGTTGGGCGCTGACCACACGGTCACCAGTTTCTCATCAAACATGAACTTGTAGCCTTCGTGAACCAGCTGGTGTGCACGGCAGATGAGCTTCAAGTTGTTGATGTGAACAAACTAAAACACAACAGATTAGAGAAGTAAGTAAAAGGAGGTTGACACACCTGGGTTAAAGGATGCTTTCCAATGACTGGTTTTCCAACACGGATGGCTCAACATACCTCATTAGTAACCTTGGAGCCAAAAAGCCAGCCAGCACCTCGTGGACTGATAGCCCAGGTGTCCACATCCTCTGGATCTGACCACACAAGATCACAAAAAGCCCCCTTGTGAGGAATCTCCTGGTTGCGTTCGATGGTTCGGATCTGGTCCAAAGTCTTGATGTCCGGTGAGAGACCACCATGGACACACAGGATCTGCTCATCTATCAACTGGGATTAGGGTTTAAAACATACTATTATGAACAAATCAATGAATAAACCCAAGTCAATAGACATCTCTATTAGCAACACTTCAAAGTTGCCATCTGCTTGTCTCTGTTCTACTCTTTCACAAACTGGAAAATCCTGACAGCAGAACAACTTTCAGGAAAGTTTGAAGTGCAGTACATTCAGCTGCTAAAGAGTGCTCATGAGATCTGGTAGCAGAACTGAAGAGGGCAGTGTCAGAGTGTTTTCACACCTTCTGTGTTTAGTCCGTTTAAATCAAAGTCTGGTTTGTTTTCCTCCTTGGCCAGATTCATTTGTGCAGATGTGAATCGCCAAACAAGCATACTGAGACCATTTGGAGGAAGTGGTCTCAGAGCAGTTCTGAATCAACTCCAGAACGGTTTGTTTATGGAGTGAACATGATCTGACCTCAATCTAGGACTGCAGCTATCGATTATTTTTGAAATCAAGGAATCTATTGATTATTCCATTGATCAATCATGTAATATGCTAAGAAATACTTTCTTCTTATAATAAGCAATAAATATCCGAAAAAGAGAAAAAAAACCCAAGGCTTTCAGAATGAACTGCTCACTGGTTTTTGAGAAGATTTTAGAAACTGCAATGTTTTAAAACTTAACTGCATACAACAAATTTAAACTCAACTCTTCGATTGCATGTATGTGGCATATTAAAATTCTTTTAAAAGAAACATTTTCTTAAATACAAAAATACATAAATAATCCCAATACAGTCAAAAGACATATATTCAATCTAAACTAAGGCATAACAAATTATCTTTACTATGTCTTCTTTCTGGCTTCCTAACATTAATAGGAGGCAAAAAGAGTTCTGAAACGAGGCAGTTCTGGTGTCCGCTCATGTTTGAGTTCAGTGTGCAAGTAAACTTGGTAATCAGACTAAGTTAACAGTTCATCTGCATATTTTAATATAAATTCAGGAGGCTCGTTGGTTAAACGTCTCCATTGTTTAACACATTGGCAGGCTACACAGCCGTGTGTTAAACAATGCATTGAAGCAAAGAATGTGGGTCGAAGATTTTTTATAATCAAATTATTTGAATTACTCAATGGATCCTTGCAGCCCTTGATCCAGACCAACTACCAAGTGTGCATTGTAGCCATGTACGCTTTGTATTATAGATTGTGGAAAGGTACTATAGATGAAAAAATGATCTGTATGAGCTAGCAACTAGCTGTGAACGTAAATTCTCCGACGGTCCCACAAACACCACCTTCTTCCTGTATTTGCTCACTCCCCAGACACACCTGGCCAATAAGTGGACTAAATATTCTCACATGGTTTCTAGCGGCTCATTCTGGTTTCCTTTGAGTTCACTTGGATTTTTCTCAAACCAAATCATAGGGAAAAGCTACAAGTTTATTAACTCATAAATTGATTGGGACCAGAATAAACCATCTATTGATGTGAAAACACCCTTACTCTACAAAAATGTCTGCCACACTTTACTGTTCTTACTCTTCTCTAAAAGCAAGAACACATCCAAAATCATAAGTGAGCTGAAGCCTTGGATGCATAATTTCTTGAAATCTATCTTCCTGCTGTTGAAACAGACTAGCTTGCGATGACGGTCATGGTTATGATTCTGCCTGTGTCATGACCATTTTCAATAGGTTTAGCACTGATTGCATCTAGCGTTTATGTATGGAGTGAGTTGTTTTCTGGCGTTCTATAGTTTTGTGTTGGTAATACACCTGTTACAGAAGATTATATGGATACTTATATATCCATAAGATCATTAAAAGAAAGAAGTAACCTCAGAGTACTTTTTAATTGAATTCCTGGAGAATTATTGCCTTGATCCTTGTTGTGCTCTGTCTGTGATGATGAATACTGTAATAAATATTTAATGCAAAGCTAACTGCCTGCTGGATAAAGGCACCTTTTAATATTAAACCCCCCAAAATTAAGAAAATGTTATGTAAACCAGTGTGCTCTTTGTTTTGTTGTGATGCTAAAGACCCAATGTTTTAAATTGCAGCTTATTATGATAATGTATTAAATGAAGTAACAAGCAGCCATTTACATAAAGATAACATACAGGGGGTGAATAGCTACTTAAGATGTCTTTATGGATGCACTGGTTCCAATTATGCTGCATTTAAAAAGGAACAATAGTTAAATGTCATGTAACCGGAGAGAAGGAATCAGACTTACAGCTGCCACAGTCAGCATATCAAACACTTTCGTGCAATACCGCCAGGCATTTGCATTTCCATACTTTGTCTGACACTCATCTAAAACAAACAACAGACAAACAGAAAATGTAAACCATTGTTAATAATGAATTTTGAACTTAGTAAACACACAAAAAATGTATTTCCATAAATACATGAAGTGAAGTACATACCATAAAATCCATACACTTGAGTTATCTGTCTGCTCTCATGGTTCCCTCGAAGGAGTGTGATACGATCTGGCCACTTGGCTTTTAAAGCTAGCAGGTGTGTAAAAGTCTCCAAGCTATAATATCCTCTGTCTACAAAATCTCCCTGGGAAGAAGAACAAGAAGACATTATTAAAGACTCAGACACTAAAAAGGTTCTGGAAAAGGTGGATATTTGTATGAGAACAGAACACCTGCTTTTTATTTTAACTAGTTGCATTAAACTTGCAAATGCAGACTGGTTAAAGCAACATGTAACTAGGGATGTTCCTGGTGACCAATTTCTTAGTCGACTAAACGAAGAAACAATATAAACTAACCCACTAGTCTAAAAGTAAGACACGCTCCGATATTAAGTTACATTTGAGAACCGTTTAATGGGAAATTTCAAAAACTAATAACAAAGGCATCTGAAACTATTAATCACGTTCTTCAATAATGAGTCCTGCCACTTAAATGTGCGGCACCTCACATCATGTATTATCAACATTACACGTTATTCAAAAATTCTCAATGATAGGTTTTCATGGGCTGATTCAGCTGCTGAGAGGCATTACAATTTTATGTAATGGTATTACAACATGCCTAACAGCCTTCATCATTCAGATTTATTTAAATGTGCTGCAGCTCAGGCAAAAGTAAAGGGAGCTTACTTACCATGAAAATGTAATTTGTGTCTGGTACTTGGCCTCCAGTTCTGAAGAGCTCGCATAGATCATAAAACTAGAGAGGAAGATTAAGAAGAACTCATCAATCAAAATATTTAAATTAGAACTAGCACACGTACCAATAAACCTTGAAACCAAAATGAACTAAACTGGGGTACGAAAAACCCCTTTTCCACTAGTAACTACTTGATTCAACTTGGTTTTTAGGGTTTCCCAACAGGTACCAGTACTGGTAAAAGTACCTGGTACCAGCTACTTTTTATAGTACCGACTCAGCCGGGGTTCCAATGAGCCGAGTCGAGCCTGACGTCAATTGACTGCATGCCATCACTGGATAAATCAAGAGTGACTCCTTCACAAGAATCAAACCCGGAATTTTTGAAACCAGGCAACGAGGGAAATGGCTACACACAAACTAACACCGTGGTCCAATGACAAGGTGCAGATGTTTACTAATGGTTTAGCAGCGAGTATATTATTGTCTTGATGTTCTCAGTTGTTGTGTGCCATAATGACCTCACCCACATTAATTGCAATTAAAAATGACCGGAGCAGAGTAGAGCAGAGTCAAGTTGAGCAGAGCCAAGTAGGTGCTAGTGAAAAAAAGAATCCTAACTTAACTTATTTCCAAATTATATTCGTATTATAAATGCTTTTTATGACTGCAATAACATATTGCCACCGATCCTATATTGGGGTGGCTGTAGCTTTAGAGGTAGAGGTAGAGTGGGTCATTTACTGATTGGGAGGTTGCCGTTTCAATCCCTAGCTGCTCCAGTCTGCATGCCAAATATCCTTCAACAAGATACTAACCCCAAGTTGCTATCTGATGCCTCCATCGGTCTGAATGTGTGTGAATGTTAGATGGAAAGCGCTTAAAGCATAGAAAAAAGTGCTTGTGTGAATGAGGCGTGTTATATAAAGCGCCCTGAGTGCTCTGGGAGAGTAGAAAAGCTCTACATAAGAATCACTCCATTTACCATCTAAATGGAGTGATTCCATTTAGATGGTAAATGGTACGCTTTTCTTGTTAGCGGTTTCTTTCTCTCTCTTTTTTGCTACAAGTTGACTCATGGCACAGGGTACACCACTGCTCATGATGGAATGAGACCTGTTATCTCGGAGGAGCTACAGAGTAGACAATGGTGCTGCAGAGCTGGAGCTAAACAAAGAGCTGAGGTGGAAGAGTGGGATATGAAATGTCCATTCCAGCTATTATATGGGGAATGTGAGGTCCTTGGATAATAAGATGGACAAGCTTGTAGTGGTGATTCAGACCCAAAGCGAATACTGATTGGCTTCCCAAACTTGCAAAAACAGTTGAACAAATTTGTCCACCTGAAAAAAAAAGTGCTGAAGTCTTGGACAACTTCACATCAACAGCATGCTGAACTGAAGCTGCAGACAAGAAGGGGCTAAGTAAAAACTGTTTCCTAAAACAGAAGTGCAGCAAATATTACAGATGCTCAATCAGTCTGTTGTGGTTTTATTGCCATTTTAAAACTCAATTTGCTTTGATGATGATTAAATATTTTACTGGTCAATAATAATAATAATAATAATAATAATAATAATAATAATAACAATAATAATATTCACTTCTGTAATCAAAAGTATTTTCAAAATATGGGATAAATAAAGCATTTTTTTCTTCTTCTGTATTTTGCCCATGGTGAAAATTGTGCATCACCCTGGGAGAAAATTATAGAAGAAGAAAAAACAAAAATCACACAGACCTACCTGACCATGAATGTCTCCACAAACTGTAACCGGAGTAGCGACTGGCTGAACATTTGATTCTTCAAGCAGCAAATCACAAACATAATCACATAATCTCTACAGGAGGAAAAACACAACACTGTTAGTGGACACAGGCACCTGGAAACACACTATATTAAAGGCAGCATGTGTATCACACAGCCCATTAAATTCTATTCTTACAGATGGACTGTAAAATGGGAAATGGGTTGGGATTTACATTCTGTGCTGCATCTTGTGCAACAATACTTTTACATGCAGACTGAAGGATCTTCCACTATCTCCCGAACCACAGCACTAGAAACGCTAGAACTCTTTAAAGGCGATTTGTAGGCATGATCTGTGACAAGGTAGGCACTCAGCTGAGTGCTATGTTTCTGCAGTCATGTGACTTTCACATTTCATATTTCTGTGGTAATCTTGTAAGTAGTTTAACTGCTAGTTACAGTTAATTAAACTAGCTGTAGTCCAGATTTTTCCCTATGTCAGATCGGGCACTAATAGGGGCCATCTATTTCCAAGTATGAAGTAATTAATGTCCTACTGAATATTAACTTGTTTTTTAAGTGAAACATTTTCACAGCAGTGTGACTAAAGGACTCAAATGGGATGTAAAGAATACAGTTAGGAACTACTTTGATCTCAGTTCATTCTGAGACATTTACAAAGTCAAAATGACTCCTTTTTCAGAAAGTTTCATTTTTCTTTGCAACGCACTCAGAGTCTGTCTGATATTTAGCTCTGCTCTGATCGCCGTTTGAAGCAAAGCCTCAGAGCAGAGGGATGAATAAACGTATAGATGTTGTCTTCCTTATGCTATTTACACCCCCAGTGCACATTTCATCGGAATATTTCGGCTACCATGATATCTTTCCACAGTTAAACCTATATCTTATATTTAAAGTTAATACGGCTTATGGTAACGGCAGACACTGACACAGCAGTGGTTCCCATTACAATGTTTTAAGTGGCACCTTCCTCACTATTCACACCGACGTGTTTAACAGAGTCAACATGCGTTATAATTCTGTGAGATTCATTTTTAAAAGCTGAAACAAACAACAGAGTATTACTTGAGCGTGAAACCCAGTTAAAACTACCGGCCACATTTGTTGAACAAACCTCGTCTAGTCGCACCATGACCTTTTACGAATACTAACAGAGCTTATCTGAAGTTAAATCCAGAAACTTCGACTCACCTTTAGATCATTTTCAGGCAGATATTTGCACTGTCTCGCTATTTCTACGTACTTATCGAGGTCTAAAGGCGCCATTATCGAAACGCTAAAAGCAGCTAAACTGCAGCTAGCTTCCTTTTCTTCTTCCTGTTCGCTCGCCGCTCCTTCATTTTCAACTTCAATTCCCTGCATCAAATCAGCCTACCACATCCTGCCCACATTTTCAAAATAAAACTATTTACCAATGACACAGAGGCTAGTAATGAACAGCAACTAAATTAAACTTAGAAATGTCAAGAAAGAAAATATATAATCTACCATAAGTGCTCATTTAAGTAAATTTCCGGCTGATAATAGCGAATGTTATAATACCTTTATGTCGAACGTCGCATTGAAAGGAAATGAACTGAAGCCAACTTGACTCTCGTCAATGGGCTTTATTGTGCAACTAAACCAAACATCGCCCCCTGTTGGTACGAGCACTGTGTCATCCACTTGTTTACATACAGTATTATGGAAGCCACACATTGCGCGGGGCAACGAAAGCAGTCACGTTACATAACAAACTTTACTAACATTAAATAAATAATAACTTGACCCAAAAAAATAAATCAATGACTTTATTTAAAATGTTTTATCTCCTGCCTACGACCTCTCCAAACACTTGCTGGTGTCCTTCTACTGTGGTTCAGTAGAAAGCATATTTAGTGCAGCATATGCCAGGTGCATGCCAGCTGCACTGAGGGTGACATTACAGCTATCGTATCAGCATACAAGACTACTACAAGACCACCAAGACTCAGGTACCAGCACAGAAGCCGAAACGTCAAACATCAGCGGCGCTACACATCAGTAAAGGCCCCTGCAGAAGTCATTAAAGTGTCTCATAACACTGTGCACTGCCATCACTCAGAACATCCTGTGCAATATCACAAAGGAATGTGAAATGGATGTCCGTGTGTCTCTTGTAATTCATAATCGTCGGTATTTTGTCTGTATTTGCATTAATATTTTCTATTTTTAATTTATTTATAATATAAAAGCACTTGCTTGTTTTTTTTTTTAACTTGCCTTAAATGTATTCAACTCAGGGAAATGCTTGACATTTTGCTGTACACCTGTAACATTACAACTAAAGGTATTCTATTCTATAGCTAAAAATAAAGGTTGATATTTCATGTTAATCACATTCACACTTGGAGCCACGTGAAATCATTAAAATGTGTGCAGGGCTTCTGGAAGACTCTTTTAGCCTGAATACATCAGAGGAGAAAACACAAAGATAACGAGTCAACATTACACTTATAAACTAATAAACTGTAACCTTCTTACACACAATTTCAGAGAAGTTAAAATGTATGATATACCAGCCACCAGAAAAGACAAAATACTGATGTAAAACTAGTAACCAGGTTTACATTTGCAATAATCTATTGTTAATTTGTGGTTAAATCAACTGTAACATGGGTTTTTACATGTAGCATTACATAAAAATCTTTTATATCTAATAGATCTGTGCACTTGGAACAAATCAAGAGAGAGAAATCTCAAAAGACAGTAGGTCAATAAGGATGACAACGAAAACACCACAAAACTTATAAACTAATAAACTGTAACCTTCTTACACACAATTGTAAAATCCTTAGGTTGCACAAAACAAAACATGGAAATTTTCCTGTTTAAAATTTTCTAAATTGAGTGTTCAGAAGTGATTTTACATAAAATGTGTATTTCACTTAGCTTTGTAGATTGTAAAGGTTACATTTATTAAGATATTAAATTTACTTTTAAAAAGGAAAAAAAGGTTTGTTTATGTAGCACATGTAAACACAGACTTCGACCAAAGTACTGCACAGCAAATAAATCTATAAACAAAAACAAAAATATTAATTACACAATAATAAAACAATATAACAACTAAAAGATACAAACAAAGTTTTAATATAAAAGAAATAATTTTTTTTTTAAAAAGATAAAGAAATAAATAATTAATGAGAGCAATACACTGCAGAAATCATCTTGAAATTAGCTATATTTGTTTTTACAACAACAATGCCCATGCTGCTTATCTGAGTTTAAACATTTACATTGTTTGCTCTTAGGGCAGTTTGTCCTTTTTGGCCTTGTTTGAACTATAAATGGTTCAAACAACCATCCTGAATGTCTTGATGCGCTCAATCATCCAAGTAAGTAAATCCCCAAAAGTTGATTCTGTTCATCTGGACGTTTTCAGTTTGAGAAACGTTTCGACAGTTCAGTCAGTGACTTCTTCAGTCTCACCTGACTGCAGGTTTTCCCAACCTTATAAACAGTACCTTTGCACAATTACTGAAACAAGCACCACTGAATGAACAATGGGCTGTGAGGTCAGTGCTCAGTGACAAAAATACTTAATCTACACCAAGTTTGTGTGGTTTACTGAAGATACATAAACAGGGTTTACCTGTAAGACCAATTGTCTGTATGATCAACTAGGTCACCTATAATATCTCAAAGTTTTTGGTTTTGTTCCTCAACCCGTTGAGGCCACCTGGCCATACCCCCTGATCTGCTCTGTCTCTGATGCCGGCCCAGAGAGTTTCATCATCACATCCATCTGACTGCTGGGAGACCTGCTGAACTGAGTTGTCAGCATTGGCATCTCTCCCTGAACAGTGGGACAGTAGGTGGGTGGTGGGGTACTGCATGATATTGGGTTTTGGACCTAGTGTTTTCAGTTTTGGACTTTCAGTTTCTGTTTGATATACTCTGTTTGACCTGGTTTGTTGTAGTTTTTCTGTTTTGAGTGTATCTAATATTATATTTTAGCGTAGGTTGTGTTCTCATTTGTATTTCTGTATTTCTGGTTTATCCTTAGAGTGATAATTTATGTGTCTGTGGTTGCAATATCATGATTTGCTGGGTTATATTCTTGACATTTGTTGGTTTGTATTAATGCCCTTATTTCATTTATCGACCTTTCCCTGTGCTCTCCATTCCTTGCCAAGTCATCGTCCCCATTTGTGATTCTATCTTTTGTTACTTCCTGTTTTATTTTATTAGTCTTCGTCTTGTGTTGTTCAGTTTTGTGTCCCTCTGCCTTTTTCCCTGATTTTGTTCGGCTGTGTTCCCTGGTGTGTTCCTTCTCCCTGATTACCACATGTCTGTATTTAAGCCCTCAGTTTCCCTTTGTTGCATAATACTGTTTGTGTTGTTTTCTGCCAGTGTGGCCTCTTTGTACATTCTCATTTGTTGTTGTCTGGGTTTGTAGGCTCACCTTTAAATAAAGATTCGTATTCATTTATTTGAATGGAATCTGCATTTTGGGTTCAAACTCCACACACATAATGGACTGGTTCTTATAGCTACAACGCTTTTCTACTCTTCCTGAGCAATCAAAGCACTTTATACAACTTGCCTCATTCACCTATTCACATTGATTTATACAAGCACTTTTTTCTATGCTTCTCATTGTGACAATAATATAAACACCTTGAGGCAACTGTTGTTGTGATTTGGTCATATATAAATAGAATTGACTAGAGTATCTATTTGAATTTAATACAGAATGCCACAGAGCCTCGCTTCATTAGACTCATATGAGCACCAGCTCACACTTGAGTGAGCTGGTGCCTGCCTGACTGTTGTTTTCAACCAGACATTTCCACCTAGGCCAATAGAAAACTGTTCATTTGAACAAGAAGCTAACGTATTCATGTGACAAACATTAAGTTTGTCACATGAATATGTGACATGAATATGTAATATAATATCATGAAGATGTGAAACTTGTACGCCAAGTTAATAATTTTGTAGTTTGGAAATGGGTGCTTAATATTAACGTTCAGTGTGTAAATTAGCAAATGTGATCAAAGGAGCTTGCAAAGAAATGAGATGTAGCTGGTACAGACTGAACCTCTCATTAAGGTGTGGCTATTTAAATATGTGTACAACTCTGTGTATATATGTTTATGGACAGGCATGCAATGTAGTGACAAGGATTGACAAAAACTAATATTGCATATGAGAAATATTGCACATAGAAACTAACATGGTGTATTGTACGCTGCAGGTAAGGAAGGAAAGTAGCCTTGCAGGGAAGGAAAGACCTGAATCTCTCATGGTTGGGGGTTGGAGGAGGGTGTGTTTGCACAACAAAAGCTGGAGAACAATGGAGCTGAAGGCCTGTGAAAATCTCAGCGGGGTGCCAAGAGGTGTTAGGGTCTGGGGAATTTACGCAAATTTGCGCAGGGCTAGTAAATCTAGTAGTAGGGACTTGCACCAGCGGAAAAAAAAGGCTCAGTAATTCTAGTGTTAAACTCCAACCAAACAGTAATTAGACAATGTCCTCACTCTTTTAAACCGAACACAATCAAATGTCAGTGCATGCGTTGGTGCATGATGAACTGTTTCTGTAAATGTGCAATTAGCAGTCAGACATTTCCAGTCCTGTAACTATGAGACAGTCTTATATTATTAGCCTACAGTGTCCCTTTCAGACAGTACACCTATATCCATAAAATGAGTCACAGATGCATCAAAGTTAGATGAGCAACACAAAGGGAAACCTGGACGGGAGACAGACATTTTCCACTCACCAGCAGTGCTGCAGGTAATTCAGTCTGCTGCAGGAAGATTTGTGATGAACAGATGGCTTGAACAGCAAATATGTTCCAGTCCTTAAAACATTTTTTTCTTTGATCTAATCAGCTGTTCCTTAACAAATTACTTGTTTGAAACAATCTTGAATCTTGAATATAATTTCCTTGTAGTTAAGTACAGTAGTTTTGATTTAATTCACCATTAAACCCCAGAAATATATTGAAATGTCAATGCTATTTCTAGTTTAAAGCAACAGTTAAATACGTGATTATAACAACTTAAACCAGGTTATGGTAAGATTTAAGAATTTAAGGTGCACCCTCTTTAAGTAAATATTCAAATCTGAAGGATTTAAATGATTATTAAATTGAGATCCTGGATATTTGTTTTACAATAATAAAATGAATCCATAAATCCTCAAAAGACATTTTTTCCGCGATGAAAAAAATCGTAGCGAGATATATACTTGCAAACAAGAGAAATGGTTCATGTCACTGATTTCCGTTTGTTAGTTTTACTGCTCAGATTTGGGAGAACATGCATTTGAAACATATTTGGAACGCACATTTATTCGTTAAACTTTTTGCAGAAAG